GCAGGGGATAGGGTGACTCTCTCCTCCGAAATGCTGTCCTTATCCTTCAGAAGACTTCATAATTAACGCGCGCCTCTTGAGGCATTAGCCGGCGCAGGCAAACATTGCAGCATTCACGAGAACATGCGCATTTCTGCATTGCATTAGTCCCGACACGGCGTGCGGATGATGCCGACCATGACCCGTTGTCCCAAAACAACCGACATTGGCTCGAGTTGGTGGGAGAAGTTCTGGGGCCCGGGATGATACCGAACGGTAGAAAAATGCACGACCTGGGTAGCCACCCAGTGCAAGATGTTGTTCGCTAATTTCTGTCTCGAGCACGCAGTCTTGGATGCTCGGCCTGCAACCAAATTGATGCAGGAATTTTGGTATCAACAGCATGAGGACGCGTAGCTGATGCCCTGCCATTCTGACAAATGGACACATGGTTTGCTTCTTGCTGTGCTTCACGCACAAGCGTCAAACGTTTGACTGACAGACAGACGAGAAACACACTGGCCTCATCGATTCAGCATGACTCCACGGAAAGCAAGCAAGACCAAGACTCCAACCGAGACCCGGCCAGGCGATGCATGTGCTGAATGGTCCACAAGCATACTAGCAGCATCTCGAACCATTCATTGAACATTGTGCACTTGCCTGTTCCGCTTCGGAAGGGGAACTTTCCGCCTGCACCTGTTTGGCATAGCCCGACAAACTGCCGAAAGCACGTAGAAAGGTGGGAACGGCCTCTTTCCCGCTGGGCTCCAAGCCAGCTGATTCTGCAACCTGCCAAAAGCACTGGCAGGCCTGGTCCAATCTCCAGCACAAAACGCCGCCTCAATCGCTCGTGACAGGACGTTGAAGATGCATTCCTCACCCAAGTTTTCATCTGCGAGTTCTTGTAGGCCTGGAGCTTGCTGATCTGCAACAATCATTACTTGCAGCAAAGCCGTCACCTAGTTGCGCGGTCTCCGCTGCAGGGCCACGTATCCTGGCCAAGTCGTGTCTGTTTGTTCTCACCCCCTCGAACTTGCGCTGCATTCAGACTGGCCCACCTTTCCAGTATGAATGCTGGACGGCCTGCTGTAACAAGAGGCCAGAAAAGGACGGGAAATCTGCACTCCACAGCGAGTGCGCCTTGTGCAGGGTAGGCCGCTGGCAAGTTGATCAAGAGACTACCGAGAGGAGGACAGCAAACCCTGAAGGAGGCACCTGTGGCTTGTCCTGACGATATATCACGATTGCTGCACCTGCTTCACAGATCTTCACAGCTCAGTCTCTGTAAGTGCACCAAATGGCCTACTTCACGGGTCCTTCCTCTGGCTCTTGCAGCAACTCAAATTCTCCATCTTCCGCATAGATTGCCTCTGAAACTGTGGGCAAGTACTTCTAAGGCTCGTTGGCTTATGTGCCTTAGCTGCCATTGGCCATTGTCCGTGCCTGTATAGCTTCAATCTCTGCAGCTTGCCGACGGACAGAGTCTGCATCCATGGCATGAGCCCAGAGGGTAGGCAATTGTCGCGAGACTGTCGCGAGGTTTTCAAGTCACATCTGAAGTCTCTGCGGTGCAACCTGTTTCCGAAACCGGGCTTGTAGCTTGCTAGGAAAACGAAGCTGAAGCAAGGCCCTGTGAGCCGGGAGATGAGCGTTCGACGATTCTTGGGTCGGTCCCAAGACAACGCATGAGTAGTTTTTAAACACATGGGGAAGATTGAAGAACCGAAACAAAGCGAATCTTCCTCCGTCGGTTGGGACGCACATCATAGCATGGTAAAGCAGAGCAATCTGCAGTACAGGCCAGAAAGACGCCAGCGTGCGCACCTGACCAGGCATCACAGGGGTCGGAAATGGTGAACACAATGTTACATGACAAAGACTCGGCGGGGGAGTCACTGAGTCACAGGCTGCATGCTGCTAGCACTCCACATGACCAAGCTTATGAGATTGCAAACAAAGCAAAACGTACATATCAGCCTTTTTGACCTGCACGTTGCTCCCTAACATCACCGATTTTGGGGGTTGTGTCGAAAAAGCTGAAGGGGTTTCCTGTTCTTCTGCGATTCGTTTGATTCTAAGTCTAATATTCCAACCACTCACCTCTCGCCGCCTTGGGGTGGGGGGAGGACAAGGGCATGGGAGCTGTTGGATTCCCATCTATTCAGTAGACCCCCACATGCCCATTGTATCCTTCCAAGGTCTTGGAATCCTGATCTATCTGTGCCCATGATGTTCCTTTTCGCTTCCTTTGAATTCCAAGCGATGCATCTCATGCTGTGTGCCATCCCCGGTGGCCGGGATAACGGGCCGAAAAGTTGCTTCTCGCTTTGGCCGGGACTGGATGCAAGTAGCTGGGGTCGCTGGGTTTAGCGAGTCTATTCTAGCTTTGAACAGAAAATGCTCAATGTCATTCGCCACATGGTTTCACGCTAAACTTTAAGGTCTCTCTCATGCCGTCATGATGTGTGCTCCCTCATTGTTTGCAGGTGTTTTTTGCCACCTGCCTAGCTCTGGGAACAGACATCGAAAATGAGACCCCAGGAGACGTCAGCTCTGCGGTCTCGGGTTGGCCATCAAGCGTTCCCTGACCAGTTTCCGAATCCCCCACTCCAACTGTAGTAAAGATCGAATTCGGCCGGACAAAAGGTATCCGTGCCATGTTCCTGCGGCTTGCTTTTTAAGGCCTGCTTCTGAAACATTTTGTAACAATGCAAAACACAAGGACCCACTTTCTCGGCCTTCCCAGCATAAGGCGGATCCTACTATACTGCTGATCCCACACTTCGAGCCCATACGATGCCACAGGAGTATGCGGGAGTCAGTCGTGACCATAAAATGACCGTCACAGTCTTGCAAGCAGGGGCGTGAATAGGATCTGCTGTACTTACAACACAAATCGAGCTGCGACCAATTCTGAAAAAAGCGCACTCAAGATCAGGCCACGCGGGAGTGCGCATGCCGATTTGGGACATGCTGGTGCTCGACTGCTCTGTTAGTTATTGATCCCTGTGCCAATACACATGCCCTGTATTCCCTGCAAGAACTTCGCTGAAGAGACACACCCATCAGCAAGTGGACATGCCGCAATTGCAACTCTTTCTGGTGAAGCTGCGATGGCGATCACTCAACTGGAATGTTGGATAGGCATAAGCACCAGAGACACTAGAGTCACTAGAGGGTACCAGAGACCAACAAACCAAAACAGGCCTATCTACTTCTGCAGGTGCAGCCACCGGTCCGCTGCGAAGCTGAATCTCTCCCAGCTTGCCAAGGCATCGAGGCACACTGGGGCCCTGAGGCTGCACAACTTGCAAGTTCTTGCAATCCGCTTATGCCCTCTGAGCGTCTGAACGGGCGGCCTGTCTTGAAACTCAGGGGCTCAGGGGCTCAGGGGTCTCAGGAGCGCCGATGAAGCCGCGTTCGCGGGAAGCTCGGCAATTTTGGGCCACCACCTTGAAGGCGAAATGACAGAAAATATGTAGCAAAAATGCCACAGACATTGCAAGTGCATCACTCTCTGTCTCTGTCTCCGCCTCCATGTCTCTCTCTCTCTGTCTCTCTCTCTGCCGCACCGAGGAATCTGAGCTATCTGCGCTCACCAGGGAGCCTCATTGGGCAAGACCAACTTACTATTCGGCTGAGGCTGAACAGCCTTCAACCGAGCCGCAATTTTAATGACTGGAGTATGGCTTCAGATAGTTGCGGATCGACACCCCGAGGGCAGTCAGGTGGCCACACAGACGTGATGTCCTCAGCACATCCACGTGCGATGGTGTGTTGATTGTGGTACGGTACCATGTTCCGGCGCACAACGGTCTGTGCCAGGAAGCTGGTGCGACACCCCGATTCTCGAGGCTATAGCCTGTCCTCAGCATGTGACTTCAGAGAGCCATGCCCCCGTCCAGTGAATCCAGTGTTGAAATGTGTTGAATCTGAGGTGCTCTAGCGGCTCTAGCGGTCAGCAGAAACTGCTGGTGGGAACGTCACAAGCCCAAGGACAAGCACTCAACCCAGAAGCCAACAAGCAAAACATAGCAAAACATTGACTCCACTTGGGCTCTCGGTGCTGAAGCTGGGGGACTGATACACTTGGCCAGAAATAGGAATGTGCACATTGTGCCACTGGCCAATGGCCAATGGTGAATAGACTAGTGCAGCACGTTCCTCCTACGATTCGCCCATTCATACGCAAGAGCTTCGTTGCCCTGCAAAGTGAAAACCGAGGTGTGATTCTGCTTGGCAAACTACCACGATGGAAACGAATGCAAACTTACAGCAGGCCGATCGTCTGTAGATACGTACTGTAGATCCTTCTCGTCCTGATGGCCTGCTGGGCTTTTGGCAAGCAAAGCCTCCCGAAACAGATAATGGAAGCTGAACGTTCGGTGACCAGCTGCTGCCCCGGGATGAAGTAGTGCGAGTCCGGCCTAAGATTCTCTCAAATCAGCTAACAGTCGTCGACTTGCTCGCCGCATGACAATGATTTGAAAGATCTGGCCAGCCAGTACAAACCAAGAAATACAGAGACGAAGCGCAGGCGTGTCAATGGCATGGCTCCGGCGAACTGCCGCAATCACAACAAGTCTTCAAACCGCTGGAAAGATGGGGACACTATGAAACAAGTTTCATCCGAGCTGCAGTGTTAGCCGGCTGCCATCCAGCAGGTCAAGATCTGCGGCGCCAACTGAGATGACCTCCAATTGCTGAAGGTGCTTGGTGCAAGGTTGGCAGTTGAACCAGAACACGGAAATATAGATGGCATGTGGCAACCTGCGCATGTCAAAGGAAAACTCACACTGCGTTGGGAGGGGAGGGACTTGTCTGGATTCCATGAAAATTGCATTGCTTCGGCATATTTTGGGATGGCATGACCACGCGCGATGTGTTGCAGCAAAGGTCCCAGCTCCACCCCATGTTCGAACTCCGACAACCTTGCAGCATCTTGCAACATCTTGCAGCACTTCTTTGAGCATAAGGACGGCTCTTGAGCAGCTGCACTGAAGCAAGCGCAAGCACTCAAGCACGACTAGATGCATCTGCTCTATATGGCATGGACCTTCGGGTATATACCCTCGGACAGGCCCAAACTACTTAAATACATATATATATATATATATATTTATATTTATTCATATATATTTATATTATTTATCTTTCTAACTATAGTTATTTCTATTTTTATATTGATATTGATATTTATCTTTATATTTGTTTTTGTACGTTTATATTGACATTGATTTTTATATTTAAATTGATATTGATATTTATATGTTATGGCCTTATCTTTGCGGCGCCTTCTCTACTGCTTCTCCCATTAGACTACCGAGAGGGATGTGCAGTAGTAGTAGCAGCAGCAGCAGTAGTAGTAGTAGTAGTAGGAGGAGGAGGAGGAGGCGGAGGAGGAGGAGGAGTAGTCGTCGTCGTCGTCGTCGTAATGCTTCTCTGCTGTCCGCACCTTTAAACTCATCCAACACCCCTACATCCGACAAGAATACAGCGGCACAGCATTTGCAAGCGAAGGTCCACCAAACATCAACATAATCGGATAGAACCCTTGGCAAACGGCGGGGTTAAGTTTGGGGATTTGCGGGTCCTGTAGCCAGTACCTCCCATCCCGAAACTGCTACTGGGAGGGGGAGTCAGGCTGTCGACGTCATGTGCTATAGGCTGAAATCTAGATGCTGGACCGTATGTGTCGATTCATCACGTTGCTTGGAGAAGAATGCCTCTCAGTTGGAAATACGAACGGAGCTTGTACAAATCGCTCGCCAGGCCCACGCGGCTCGGGTACAGTCATCGTCCGATGATGTGCGTTTGAAAGAGTTCTGGGTGAACATGTTCGCAGTAGCAGGAAGTGGATTGTAGATACTGTGCTGTTATTCTTCACACTCCAGACACGCAAGTCCTAAAGCTTAACCCCGCGGCTTGCCCAGGATTCTTTCAAACTATCACATGCTTTGATATCATTTGTGCTTTGCCGGCCTCAGCCTTTAAAGAAATCCAAATGTCATCAAACATTAACTTTACAAACCACCAATCAAGTTACAAGAGCCTCCGGGAAAAGTTTAAACTTGAGGGTTTCAAAAAAGCTTCTTTCCATAGCAACTCCCAAACCCACTTTTATCCAAAAAGTTCGATTTAAATTGTTTTACTATGGGACCCGGACTACGACGTCGGAAGATGCTCAGGAAAACATCTTTGCGCATCTCCAATCTTCAATCCTCGATCCGGGGGACAGCCGATAAAGTACTTTGAGGTGCTTAAGCGGTATGGTCGGTCAAGCAAAGACGCTTCGCTGCTTAACACCCCACCTTCGTCTACACAGGTTATGTACATAAGGACAGCTTCCTCTCTTCCATGCATGTAATGCTACAAAGATTTCCCCCCCCCCTTTCCCTTAATCGTTTAAAACAGCATAATTAGGTAGATGATTAGGGGGGAGGGGCACCATATACATGTTTACATATTTATGTGCCATGCCATGATACGCCAGGGCACGGTTCCCAAGCCAAATCGTTGGAACGCTTCGGCGAACGCCTCTCCATCTGAGCATGTGTTCTCATCAACGAGAAGCACCTGATCAAAGGTGGATAACATGTGGATCGGGAAGCCTGGCTGTCTTACGCGCATCGAGACAATGAGGAAGAAAGACAAGCGGGACTGAACGTGTCCAAAGAACACGGTAGTGACCCATGAGTCACCGACTTTGGCAGGCAAAAGAGCAGCAAGCAGCACAGCTACGTCCTCTTGAATTCTCTTCCAAGAACATGCAAGCGCACAGCTAGTTGGACAGGTTCGAGCCACGCTGCGCGTGGAGTTATAGAGAGGGGAGACAGAAACCGAAAGAGAGAGGGAGAGAGGGGAGCGAGGGAGGGAGAAATAAACAAATAAGGAGATGCTCAGGATTTGTAAAGGCCTACGTAGCGTGATGCACTTCTCAGTGCCCGACGTGCGCTCCACTCGTGCAGAGCTCCGGACATCGAGTCGGAACACGGCCAGGTCGTGGCACCGTCCATCCAAGGAAGCGGCACTGCCTAATTTTGACATTCTGGATATGAAAGATTGTCAAGCTTGTGGCAAGCTGGCGCTAAGGTGCAGTTGTTTCAAGAACAACTCCGATGCGAAGCCGCCATTGTTGCCTGGCAAGCGCTGAAAGCAGAAGAGGCAACACAAGAAACGTGCATGAACTGCGCCGCTGACACTGGCAGCCCACTGCAGGTGAGAGTCATCGCAGATCAAGTATTAAAGCATCTCGGCTGCTTTCTTGGGCAAAGCAGCCTTGGCAGACTTCGCAGTGACATGCCCAAAATCAAGGAAAGGATGCGCAGGAGGAATTTGGGAGATCGAAAACCTTCTAAGAACAAGGCCACGCGGCCAATGAGGCAAGCAACCAACGTACTACCACTAGTCACTAATATGCTTGCGCATGCCAATGAACAGAACTGTCCCCAATTCGAAAGAGGTCTGATTTCCTGGACACTTGCGGAGTCATAGACTAGTGCATCCAAAGGTCGATAGAACTCGGCGAAGCCCAAGCGTGTGGTGTCAGGGACGTAAACGTAGCCCACCCGCCCCCCTGTTGCTTTGTGAACTTCGCGGCGTCTTGCTTCAATCAGGTCTCTCATGCGGACATTTCGGATGACAGCCTCTCCCGCTGCGCAAACACGTGCTGTCCGCCAAACGTGTCCACTAGAAATGTCCAGCTTCTTGAAGAGAGCGGCCAGCTGCCTTTCAAAGTCCTCTACTTTGTGTTTGTCCGAGTTTTTGCGTTTCCCATGGGCGCTGCGCTTGTCATGGGCCTTGCCAGAATTTTTCTTGGAAGCTTTCGCCACCTGAGGTCTATGAAGCTGCCGGATTCCATCGACACCACCGTTCTGTGACAAGGCCCGCTGCAGCTTAGCAAAGGAGGGAACATCATCTGCAGGGACGTAGGTGATAAAAACTTCAGAAGATGCGGTCCCGGCAAGCATCTGACCAATCGGCACATCTTTAGACACCCTCTTACGGTTCACAGCCAAGATGAGAGCACCCTCCATGATGCCCACACCGGGCCGCGCAACAGGGCCACTACACTGACTATCCCAAATGTCACCCCTCAGCACCTCATCCACACGATAGGCCCCTCCTCCTTCAAATTCTTGCCAAGAAGTAAGAATACCTAAATGCTTGCACGTGGTCTCCAGGCTGTCATCGGAGCCTAACGTGAAGCTAACGTGACTTAGCCCCAGCTCTGACAGCATCTCCCCGCATAAGTCCTCAAACTCAACGCTGCTCCGGACGCGTGGCAGAATGGCTTGGTATCTGTTGCATGTGTCTGTCCAGTCTACTCCTCCGAAATGATCATCGAATAAGTGCTCGGAAACAAACTCACAGATCGTCAAAAACATTGATCGCCACTCCTCAACGTCAACAACTTGTATAGAAAGTCTGTCCATGTCAAGCATACCAGACTCCGGACCGGGCTTTGACATGTCTGCTTCCTCATCCTCTGAAGACGCAAGGCCTGCCTTCACTGCAAAATACTTTTCCTCCTCATCCTCATCTTCTTTGACACACAACAGCATGTTTTGACAATCGGGGCTTGTGCTAATACTCATGACATTCTCCCAGAGTTGGGCTTCCTTAAGCTTCCCGAAGTCGAAGCTGAAGAGTGCAGATTTTGTGTCAGGCTCGTCCTCATCGTCCACCAAATACGGACTTGATGCTACCATCTTCTCTCTTAAGTACATCAACTTGCCATCTGCCGTCCACGCGCAAGAGCTATAGTGACCAGGCGACACTGGTAATTGCAGGACTCTTGCGTCAATGTTGTCTACATCGATCCGTACCTGCATCGGTTCCTCATGGCTTTCATTGCTATCAGTCGAATCTGTATCTGTTGGACAATCCGCGTCCTCATCCAACTTGGCAGGAGCAATAGGTGCTGGCACGAAAGGGTTTTTGGCATCACTTGATAGGAGTACCAAGAACGGCAGCTCCGCTCCGGAAGCAAAAGTCAAGTCGGTAGTCACGTCATCCTCAAGTGGAGCGAAATGACGTGCAGAAAGAAAAGCCAAGTAGAGCCCATCTGGATGAAATGCTGGGCACGCGTTGGAGAATGTAGCATCTGCCACAACGGTTTTGACTAATGTGTGTAGATTCATCAGTACAATCGATGATCCACACACCGAGTCTTTGCGGCAGTAGCTTATCCATGCTCCATCTGGAGACCAGCAGGGATCTGAGATCCCTTGCTCCCACTCACTGGTATCTAGCAGCCGTGGTTCGGCGATGATGTTGGCCTCCAGCTTCACAAAAGGACTTTCTGGAGAAGCCTTCGTTCCACCACTCACAAACTCCATTAGCCACAGCTGATTTCGAGACGTGACGATCAACATCGCATCATGCACCGGAGATGCACTCATGCTCTCGATCTGCCCCCGGATCTCGCGACAAACAAACTTCTGTGCGGCACTCCCGACTTCAACCATAAAGCCATGCAACATCTCGGCCAATGACTTTTCTGCTTCATCTTTGCCAGCACTGCATGGAGTGCATGGAGCAGGGTGAATGACAAATGTCCAATCCGGAAGGCTGTCCGAATTGTCAGAAGCTGTGAGAAGCTGCCCACTGGCAAGATACTCGATGGCCACACACCGTACAGCCGCCGGCACAGCCAGCACAGCCTCAGCCGGCTCAGCCTCAGGTCGCCGATCTCTGGATAAAAGCTGCACGGCGGGCCCTGACCACAAGGCCATTTCATAGACATTTCCCCTGCACAAACAGGACACCGTGTGTCCATCTGGGTGGAGGGCAACAGACTCCACCCATTCTGACGCCTCCAAGCTCCTGACACGGTGTGCGTTGCACTGCCCAAAATCTAGCTGGATGTGTTGCGCCTGCGCTGTGGACAGGTTAAAGTGCCAAAGCTCGCCCGCGACTGAGTACACCAAACCGTCCCCTTGATCCCCCTTCATGCAGCGGACATCGAAGAAATCATGCGTCGTATGCTTTTGCAAATCCTGTCCATCCAATCCCGCGCTCCAGATATTTCCAGATCCATCTGGATCTGCAATAAAAAACAAGCGGCCGCACTGCCATGTCATACAGCTGATGTTGAGGCAGGCTCCGCTGAAAGGATCTTGAATGTCAATCTGCGCAAACACGCCAGCACCCGCCACGTCTATCCACAAGAAGCCGTGTTGACCCCCACGGTAGCCCTGCAAAGCAAGAAAGAAACAGATCGCTGGATCGTGGGTTGCCCGAAGTGAGAGGCAGCACCTATGGGGCCTATGTGGGCCTATGGGGCCTCATTGAACTTGGGACGAGTCACAGCTACACTTTGCTGTTGGATGATGGCATGCCCCACAAACCTGATCCGGGGGTAGATTCCTGAGTCCAGAGTCTAGTAGAGTCTAGTAGAGTCTAGTAGGGCGTAGATTTAAGACTTTCACTTGAAGTGCGTGGCCTTCCAAAGGGCGCGCGGTGTATCTTTGGTGTGACGCCCAACGCACACACCACCGCGAGGACCATATGCTATTGCATCGTACCTCAGTCAGCGACTTGACATTCGAACAATGATATGTCATCGTGCGGATGTTGTACTTACGAGAGACCTGGTGCGACTCAGCGGCTCGCCTTCAAAGAGTCGTGTTGGCTCACCGCCTCATTTGGCAAGTTTCACTGTCCACAAGCAATTCAAAGTCGAAAAAAACCCGCAAACGTCGACCGCTTCAGGATCGAATCGGTTCGACTCTAGCCCCTCAAAAGCACAAGGCCTCACAGCCTCACAGCTCCCATCTATTTTAGGGGCCACGGAGGCCCCATATGAAATTGCCAAACACATTGGCATCCTTGGAAACAGCCCCTTTTTTCTACGTTTTCAACAAAAGGTTCCACAATGAGTCCCTGCAGTGGCCGCTGCGGCGGCGCGGGGTTATCCCTTGGTGAATTTGGCGCTAACGTTACATCACGACACATGCCGGTTCTTGATGCTTGAACCATCTTGAACCCCCATTTTTCCGTGCGTTGTTGTAGCAATCAATGGGCTGCCGGTTGCGGCTTGCACATCCTTCCCGGGGTGCCTCGAGCCCAAAGCTGCGAAACCAAAAACAAAAAAGCTGCCAACATCATGATGCTGCTGCTGCTGCTGCTGCTGCTGCTGCTGCTGCTGCTGCTGCTGAAGCTGCTGCTGAAGCTGCTGCTGAAGCTGCTGCTGAAGCTGCTGCTGAAGCTGCTGCTGAAGCTGCTGCTGAAGCTGCTGCTGAAGCTGCTGCTGAAGCTGCTGCTGAAGCTGCTGCTGAAGCTGCTGCTGAAGCTGCTGCTGAAGCTGCTGCTGAAGAAGCTGTGCTGAAGCTGCTGAAGCTGCTGAAGCTGCTGCTGCTGCTGCTGCTGCTGATGCTGCTGCTGCTGCTGCTGCTGCTGCTGCTGCTGCTGCTGCTGCTGAAGCTGCTGCTGAAGCTGCTGCTGAAGCTGCTGCTGAAGCTGCTGCTGAAGCTGCTGCTGAAGCTGCTGCTGAAGCTGCTGCTGAAGCTGCTGCTGAAGCTGCTGCTGAAGCTGCTGCTGAAGCTGCTGCTGAAGCTGCTGCTGAAGCTGCTGCTGAAGAAGCTGTGCTGAAGCTGCTGAAGCTGCTGAAGCTGCTGCTGCTGCTGCTGCTGCTAATGCTGCTGCTGCTGCTGCTGCTGCTGCTGCTGCTGCTGCTGCTGCTGCTGCTGCTGCTGCTGCTGCTGCTGCTGCTGCTGCTGGGCCTTGATGAAAATGCCAATGCATATGCAACATCAAAGCTCAGAGACGTGCCATTTATCGAAATCTTATAGAGCATTGACCGATCGAAGGGATCCTCACCTGAGGTACGACGCATTGCTCAACTTATGGCTTGCAGCACCGTGGCAACTGACCCAGTATCAGTCAAGGTAGGATGCACACACGTGCTTGCGAACACAATCTCGGTGTCAGTACTCCATGCAGCTGGCCATAGGTCACCTGAGCGAGCCACAGGATGCAACATCTCCGTATGCTCGTGCCAGCATGTGCCAGCGGTCCCAAGCTCATGATGCTTGCAACCCGAGAAGCCCATCGCGAACCAGGTCAGCTGCCTGCACAGACAGAGGCTTGTCAGAGACATGTAATGAGGAGATGTTGCGACCTGCAGCTCTGCGAGGTCTCACAGCTCAAGCTGACTCAAGCACCAAACCTGCATCTGCCATCTTCCACGGTCAACAGCCACAGGTCGGACGAGTCCGAAAATGCAATCTGTGTTGCTGATGGCGATAGCAAGGGATGAGCAGCCTTGTTGAAGGTCGTCATCCGCCGTGGCAGCTTCGGACCCTGCGGCCGAGCTGCCAAATCTATCAACCAAATGTCTTCCTCCACCACGAAGGCGATCTTGCCCTTGCTGATTGTCGGTTGACGAACATAGCCCATTTTGTCCAGCCCAAACTGGTACTCCGGGCGCGCCATGGCATTTAAAGCTCAGATTCTACAGCATCCCCTCAGCATGTCCTGTCAGCTGTTTTGACCCTTGAGCCCTATGTTGCCCAGACGCGCGGAAGACAATACGAACAATCTGCACCAAATCACGACTCTGACTCTAAATCTACATGTGCCACTTTTTTCGTTCTTGCGCTCTTCGGCAACGTGGTGTCACGAGGGTCATCAGGAGCGCAGGCCCTCCATCACAATGGACTACAGACCGTCTCCTAATTTTTAACAGGCAAGGCAATCAAGACAATTTTCTTACTGCCTGCTTCGCAGGCGGCTAAAGTGAAACATAAGCTGCACAGAAGTTCTTCACACCTTGGAGCTCGTCGCCTCAGCCGGTTCCTCCTCTGGACGACCATGGGGTCGTCTCCTCATGCAGCAAAACGACCTGCTGGCTCGACTCGCCAATCGGGGTGTGCCGAAGTTCGTGCCATACTGTGGAGCCACCAGCATCTCCTCAACGCCTAGAATCCAAGCCAATTCGCGCACTTGTGTGTCAAGCCACGGGGGCGCAACGAAAGGCTCAAGAACATTCGCTGGCGGAAGCTCTGCTAGCAACCGTAGGTGGTCAACGATGCATTTGAACGCCGGAGCCGGGTAGTTGAGGTATGGCCTCTGATTCGCGTCGAGCTGCGACATGCGCACTTTGTCGTCCTGGAAGAGCTGTCGGAGACGACTGCCTTCCGGCGCCTGCAGCATTGTCTGACGGCTGACCGTCAGAAGCTCTCCTCCCACATTGATCGTGAGGATCTCCACCCCGTTCGGGCCCTTCACGCTTGGGCGCTGTGCAGACAACGCAGCTTCTGCAGCTGCTTGAGCAGCCTTGGCAGCTGCAGTCGCAGCTTCTGTCACTTCTGCCATGAGCCCCAAGTTCTCGGAGCCCATCGAACTGGAGCTGGCCTCTTCCTTCAATACCTTGAGCACAACATCCAAGGGACAGTTCTTGTACTCGAAATGCCAGAAAGTGGGACCTGTCTCCGACATGTCCAAGATGTGGAGGTGCAGTGAGTTGACTGAGTTGTGTCCAAAGACATGGAAGAACAAACCCACTCGGTCACTCCACCCTGGGCAGTTCCGAGCATACTTGAGTGCTGCTGCCTTCATGACCTCGATCAGAGCAATGGCGCGACCAAGTCCGGCGCCTCCCTTTGATTCTGGAAGAAGTCCGAAGCCAAGGACGTTGAACCATTGCCAATGGAGATCTTTGATCGTGAGAAAGCGGTGGCGTTTTGCCATAGAAGCCTTTCCCACCCACTCCTTGTCCTCAGAGTCCCAATGCTCGTCGTTGGCCGGCAAGTTCGAGGCAACTATGAAATGATCCTTGAATTCTCCAAGGTATTCCTGCTCCTTGTCCATGCCCGGCTGTGCCATAACTTCCCCAGCTATCCGAGCAAAAACGTTGAAAGGGCGTGTGCCAGTGGTAAGCTTGCCTGTGACAGGGTCGATAAACCCGGATCTCATCAGCTCCTCCTTGAGCGTTGGCATACCACCCAGCTCCTCCATGAGCATCCGGCGTGCTGCGCGAAAGCTCGCGGCATCTTTGATGATAGGTAAACGTCCAACAATCTCAGCTTTCACCGAGGTCGCACCATCTGTTCCTGCGAAGAAGAAATTTCCTCCTCCACCTGCACGTGTTTCGCCAACCATGGACATGCGGCGGCGCCGGGCGCCGGCCTTCTCCATGAGGCCGGGAAGGTCTGTGGTCTTCACAGGAGCCGGCAGAAAGTTGCTGGCTGCCTCTTCTCTGAGCACCTTGATGACATCATCCAGCGGGCAATTCTTGAAGGAATGGTAGCTGAACGCCGGTCCGAGCTCAGACATATCGAGAACGTGGATGAACAACGAGTTCACGTTGTTGTGACCGAACACATTCACAAAAAGGCCAACCTTGTCCGACCATCCTGCATTCTTGGCAAAGAGCAAAGCAGCAGACTTCATCTGCTCCACTTCAGCCAGTGCTGATCGTGCCGTGACCCCATCATCATCAGCCGGGACCAGCCCAAAGAGCAAGGGATTGAACCACTGATAATGTAGATCACGCGTTGTCAAGAACCGATGTAAACGTGCCATGCTGGACGTCTTCACCCACTTCATATCGGGATTGTCCCAATTGATATCCTCAGTGTGGCTAACTGTGAATGCTTCCATCAATCAATGAATGAGTCGAAGATCACAATACTCAGGATCACTGCTTCAAGTTGGGCAGTTTTTTATGGGGTCGCAGGATGCGGGAGGAAGGGTGGATGAGTGGTGGTCGCTGGCTTTTGCCTTTGCAGGTGGAGGGGACAGCAGTCTCCCTTTCCGCAAGGACCCAGACCACGTTATTGAAACCATGCCTGCTGCACATGCAAGCAAGACTCGTTTTCTAGCTTGTTGCGGCAAATCATAAACTTGCTCTTGAAGGTGCCAAGCAAGTCCTCGGAACACATTGCGCTGGTACTGGAAAAGAAGTTGACAACGACTTGCCTGAACTGAGAAAACACAAGTGTTTGTGCAAGCGTCTTGCTCGGCTTCAGATTCTGGTTGCTTCCTGGGTCAGAAATATCTTCGGGTGCGAGGAGAGGGGGGTGGCGGGGGCAAGAACTCCGACTGTTCCTCAATGAGTTCTAAGGCGCATAGTGCCGCTGGACAGCAGTGCGAAAATGTTCATTGGCCGGTCCAACAGCGTCAACTTGGATGTCTCACCTGACTATTGCTGCTACCAGTCAGTCATGAAACAAATTAGAACAATGACGCAGTAAAGTCCCGAGGGCAAAGGATCCAGGGGCATGACCGTCCACATAGCCTGAATAGACCAGCTCCTCTTTCAAAGCGGGCGCACCGCCCAAGTCCTGGCGCAATACTGAAGTCGCAAGTCACAAAAGTCAATTTGCGCTCTTCACTATGGCAGTGCGACCTGCTGGTTCATGTGTCCTGAACCAGCTTGCGCGCAGATCGATAGTGTGCCGCAGAGTTCAGTTCAGGAATCTTGCCTGAGATCACGCTACAAGCCGTTCACATTACACTTCTGGCGTTCATTCAAACTTTATTCCGCCCGCTGCTCTCAAGGCCCATGAAAGGGGCCACTTTTCTTTGCACAATGCAGAGAATGGATAGTGTTGTGCGATGACATCTCGATAGTTCAGCTATCTTGGTATTTTTATGGATTCTAAGCCAGACCACAAGCAGCAATAAGCTGCGCTCCAACTTCTGCCTCTTAACAGCTCAGGTCTGTGATAACCCTCGGGGACTCGACAAAGACTGCACGCGCTCATGCCAAGTGGCCAGTGATTTCAGCCTTCAGCGATGTAGCACCCTCCACACCCAAGAAAGACGATTCCTGCATCTTGAGCATTGCCGCATCATCCTCTGTTATGGAGCAAGCCGTCGCCCAGTCAGGTCCTTCAACTGCTCAAATTTTCGGGCCCGTGCTTGCAAAGGGCACAGAGTGTCAGTTGGCAGATGGCTTATCATGGATTCACGGCCTGATGAAACTCCCAGCACGGCCTGTCACAGAGCAGAGCAAGTGCTAAAGGGGAAACCAGCTCCTGAGCATGACCGTGCCTGCAACAGGTTCATGCTGGAAAACTTCCTTGCACGGCTCTAAATCATAAAGAAACAAAAAGCACAAACTCAGCAAATCAGTTGCAGTTTGGAAAGCCTGAGTCGGTCTTTGGCTTCCCTTGAAGCTATTTCTGACCCCAGCAGGCAATTGAAATCTTAGAGTCAGACCGGGAAGCAAGGGTCAAGAGAGAGACAAACCGAGAGAGAGAGAGAGAGAGAGAAAGAGCAGCGAACGACTCAGCTCCAGTCCACGAGCTCTTCTCGCCTGGCTGTTCCGCTTCGTGCAAACTGAATGGAGTCGGCATCTTGCTGACTTGAGCCAGCCTCCATCCAAAGCATGAGAAGAAATGAAAGCAATGCATGGACACGCCAGCTGAGCTTGCATGGTAAAGGCTTGCAAATGAGACGGGGCAAGTGGGTGCTTCGATTTGCGCACGCCGCATGGCATATGCTATCTACGAGGGCTTGCCCGCATCACTGCCGCGTTTGCGCAATGCCTTGGGCATCAAACATGTTAAGTTTTGCCAGCATGGCAGTCTATCTGCGGCCAAGAACAGAAAATGTCTCCAAACTGCATGCCGCCATCTGTGCGCGGAGCTAGCTTTGCAGAGCAGACCGCACAGACTGTTGCACCTGGAAACGCATGGGCAGACCAGACAGCCAGTCAGAACTGCAGACTCTGCAAGTCTACGAAATCGAAGAGTCTCCAGAAGCACCCAGTTCTTGCAAACGTTCATCTCGTGCTTGAGATACAGCCTTGTGCACAAATGAGTGGAACCCAGAATGTTCAAAGGCACGCAAGCATGTCTAGGTCTCAGTGCATCGCATGTCACCCCTAAGGAGGAGGTACTGCTGACTGAGCAGCGCCACCTCACAATCTCTCGCGGTTATCTGTGCACATGACAAATCTCGCGGTCATCTGTGCTCATGACAACATCACGGGATGCCCTTGCCTTTTCTGCTTTGCATTCGTTGCTGCACATGCTGTCAGTGAGTTGCAAGTGTCACTGGGTCGACTGAGTCTCAGATGAGTCGGCACATCGGCGCTTGGGACCTCGTGACTGTCGGGACGAGCGGCAGCTGATGCCACTGCGACCTGCTGCGATCCGTCCACCAGACTCCGGTCTCCGGTCGTGCTCGTGCAGGAAATGGCGGCGACATCGGTGGCGGCCGCGCATACCAACCCAAACCCAGGCGAAACGAACAGCAGCTGGATGCAGCTCACGCCTTGCATCTATTTCTGGGACTGAAGCCACCTTGTCGAAGCACGCCGTGGATATCTGTGGATGTCATCAAGGGTCTGCGACGACCCGGAGCTTAGGGCCTAGAGGATGACAATGTCGAAGTACTCCCTCACCTAAGCGCGTCACATTGTGACGAATGCTGATTTCTAACACAAGAAGCTTCATCACAGGAGCGCAGAAACCGGTCGCAAACCAAGGCCAGCCGAAACACCATGGCTCGGAATCTCGTACGTACATGCGGCAAACAACAAATAGAAAAACTGACAAGTAGAAAGATAGCATTGCGAAGTTGTACGGCAGCATGCGACGAAGTCCGTCAAATTGTCAGCGAGAGCCCGCTAAGCATGGACTGGGAATGACTGTTACAAATCTTGTTACAAAGCCGCGTTCTGCCAAGGGATGTCAGAAGGATCGCCATACACGAAGAAGTGCCGGCGTGCCAGGATGGAGTCCTGGCTTTTGACCTCCAATGAGCGGCTGTCCGCTGTGACTATATGTGACTATGGAAACGGTATTCGAAAGCATCTGCCTCTAAAGACCACAGCCCTTGTGGAAGTGGCTGAGTCGCAGTGTATCGATGCCAAAGAAGCACAGAATTCTCTGAAATTGAAATCGGCGCATGCCTCTCCGACTTTCAAGTGGTGCAGTTTGCAGGCCACATGAAACCCGAAAAGTGTTGACAAGGCATGCAGTCAAGTCTCTGCATTGGCGTTCCTCGCGGATCGATCCAAACAAGAACCAATTCCTCCCGCAAGGGGACCGGTTGCTTCGCAGATTCTGTGCATCTTATATATGTGCATGTACAAATACATGTATATATGTTGCGCAAATAGGAGTACGGGTTCTTGGGCCTTGCAGTGACCGTGTTTTGCGGCCCTAAAGCAAGTCCTGCTGTGAGTTGGGGTTCTTGGGGGTGAAGGGTTCTCGGAGATATGTTTGGGCTCATGGGCGGGTAGGTTCAGTGTCGGAAGGGTCAGGGTCCCCGAACTCCAAGAATGCGAGAAAGATGCCATGCAAGTAGCACGGCCTTCTATGGCCAGTGCCCCGTGCTCCAACTGTACCAGGGAAAAGAATAAACAGAAGCGACAGGCTCTCTGCTACCTAGGCGAATATGCAAACCGCGGCACTGTAACAACACAGGCATTAGTGTTGTCGAACTTTGATGGCCAAGGCACCTATCTGGTTCCGCATATGGATGCTTATATCCTGGCCAGCTTGCTTCCTCTTGAGGGCCGGCCTTTTTCGCAACTGCAAGCGAAGACTACCTTGCGATTTAAGCCTTGTATACCCTCTGGCTTTCTCCAGTTCACTGCCCCATTACCCAGTCGAGCTCATTTCTTTTGTAAGCAGTCAACTCGCAAGCCGGATAAGCCTGTGAGATCGGCTTCTTCGACATGCGCCAGTGCGCAACCGCCCACAAGCTCGGACAACCTAGCGATTGAACAAATCAAGAATCAAAGACCCAAATTTTGAGACTTGTCCTAGAGGGCCTAGAGACAGCTCTGCGCTGAGCCGCTGTAGGGGCCAGTACTGGATGCCGAGACGGCAGACACATCCCCATCAAAAACCAACTCGTCCTTGTTCCTGGACGGATACGACATGATGCGCCATGTTGCATTGCACAAGACAACGCAAAGGACGCTTGGGACAACTTGAAACACTGCATTCCAACCTGCCGTAATGCCAAATGCTGGCAAGAACCAATCACAACCGACCCTCAGTGCCAAAAGAGGATGGGCTGTCTTCGGCGTTGCCAGCTTTTCATGGATCCGAATCTCTAGTCGCGGCTCCTGGCGAGCCAGTCAGCTTGCCTAAAGTCTGACAGAATGGAATTCAGCCAAGCGTCCACTTGTAGGCGCAGGGTTTGGAAATTGAATATTCCATCATAATTTCCTGGAGGTATCGGGATTTCCAGCATCTTGACAGCATGGGTGGGCGGGTAGCAATCGTGCTGCTGTGCGTCTTTGCAATCGCTGGATGGACTTGATCTGAGCCAGTGAGCTCGCCAAGACTTCAATGACTCCTCAGCAAGCAGGAGGCTGCCGGAGGTTGTCCAAGTGAATAATAAACATGCTGAGCCAGGGTACTTCCAATGGCTGGGACCCTTGCCTGTTACACGTGACAAGAGGCACACCGAACATGAGTCTGCTGGACAGCAAGGAGGCACGGACTGCACAGCAAGATATCCGAAACCAAGGCACGGTCGTCCAGGCTGGCCGGGAATTATGGCTGGCCTCGCCATCCAACTGGTCCTCCAGAATTTGTTACACTGCTCCCACGAATGCAAAGAAGCTGCATTCGGCACCAGTTCCATATCCTTAAGCTGAGAGCTCTCACGGCTGTCATCAAATTTCCGCGCAAAAAAAGCCCACCTTGGATGCAGTTGATCAGGAGAAGCAGTGGCCTGTGCCCTGTGGAGTAACTACCCTGCCTGCTCCCTAAACTTGGCAGCTTTCGATTTGTGATGGCCTGCTGAGCGGCAATGATTGCCGCCGGACTTCCTCAACTTTTGTAAAATCCTTGGTGCTTCCGCAGGCATTTATGGATCAGCGGGTCCGAATATGGCTCACACGCAACCCAACGAAACCCCCACAAGTGCCGAAATTTGAAAAGGGCTCCTCCAAGAGCCCCAGCACACCGGGTGAAAGAATGTTGTACTCGCTAGTCAGGCTCCGGACTTCGCGCATGCTATCTTTGTCTGTCCAATGGAGCGTAAAGTCCGAGCATTTGGAGCAGAATTTCGTGTTCAACACGACAGCCTCTTCATTGCGATTCAGTGCAGGATCGCTGACATGTGCTGACCTGCCTAAGTAGCTACTGCGCCAGGCACTAGCTGCTGCCGACACAGCCGAGGGCCTGGAAGAAACTCTCATCTGGCTGCTTGACGGATGTGAGGTCTTGGAATATGGCTCCCACCAGTGTGGAGGCATTGGCAAAACTGCTGGCGACTGCGGCGGCCATTTCATGCGTTATCGCAAACCACTGGGAGCCACTCGCATATCCTCGATATGCGGCCCCAAAGTGTTGACTCCATGTGCGTGGCGTGTAGCCGACAAAGAGCAAAACCTGCTGGCCACGACACTCATGCCTGGAATCTTGGGGTATTGCGCGCCAGCCGACCTCCACGACTGCGAATGTGCAAACAGGTCTGGGCTCAGCCTTGAACTGTAAACCTACAAAGGCTCGAGGTGCCTCTCAGGTGTGAAGACATCTCAGACGTTATGGGGACCAAACGAAGCAATGTGCAGCTGCAAGCAAGGTGCAGAGATATAACACGGTCCCCACACTGGTATGAAACGTCGCGTTCGCACTCGCCCTGATAAGCAAGGCAGGAGATTTTCGATCTGCGCTGCAAGAAACTCTCTAAAGTCAGTGGGTGTCAATGGTTACTGGGTCCGTACCTCGTCCACTGACACGAAGCTCGTGCCATGATGCACCCAAAGGTAAGTGGCCAGGACTTCATTCGCTCTCAGTGGGTAGTCCTGGCATGCTCAGCTACTGAGCTTCGGGTGAGGCTGCTGCTTACGGCACGCAAGGTCGAATTTATCATGCATCCTGCTCACTGAGAAGAATACAGTAGTCCCAAGTAAGAGCGTGTTGCAGAAGGCGGTGAATACCTGATGCAAGCACCAGCATCTGCTGCAATGCAGTCGAGAGGTTGAGAAGTTGCACCTTCCAGCTCTGCGCGGAGCATGTTTGCACCGCCACGGACAATGTTGTACCTCGAACTGATGCTGCAGCCTCAGCTCTATTCACCTCGGCCTCCGACCAGGATCTGGTTTCTTTACCCCCTTTCCCAGCCCTTTCCCAGCCCTTCCGTACACGAGCTCCTTTTGCTGCGCTGACACAGCTGCCAACTTGGGGTTGGGGGACCCGGACACCCTGGGAGCCCAACCCTCACATAGCACTACACCAAGTGTCAGAAACACCTCCACGTCTCGTGGCTTGGGCTGGCCCTGCTAGGGCGGTGGCGCGCGCAAGCGTTTAAAATTGGACTCTGTATACAAGGCCGTAACGTGCTGCCAAGGCTGTGTTGAGGCCGGATGCACTGAGTAGATCTGCACAGCGTATCCCAAATCTTCCTCTTCTGTCCAATGCATCAGCTCCTGGAACATCCCGGGGCTTTTTTCATCCACGTGCACCTGGGCAGCTTTGCTTCCATGATCTTGGGTCACGAAATGTTGTGAAGGTGATCCAAGAACCTCCCTTCAGATTCACCAGAGGTTGGCACCGCAAACAGGGTCTCAAGCGGCTGCAACAGTCTGGAAATCAGCCGCTTCACGTTCCTGAGGGTCTAAGAGTCCACACAGGCCATGAAGGAGCAGCCTGCAAGCCTTGCCTGAAAGCCTGCCTGAAAGCATCGTAAAGCTGCAGGGCTGCTGAGGGAACTGGTGGGACAGGATGACCTCAAACGTCTGAGGGCACTTGGTGGAAACAAGTTCACAAACCTTGCTTGGAAGAGATAAAGGGTCCAAGCGCTTTTTGAGTCCAGGTTGCATATGCGATTCTGGCCCGGGTATGTGAACGAAAGCTCAGTTGTGGCTCCTTCACCATCAATTGATTTGGCGCATGTGCTCTGCTCATGTCTTGATGAAGCCATACAATGCAATACAGTTAGCACAGTGTCTGATGCCACGTGGCAAACTGCGCTTTTTGACTGAGTGTCCTTGTCTTGCTGTGGCTGGCACTCGGTCTGCAAAGGCTCACGGTATCCTCAGATGCAGGCCAGCAAACACGCGCTTTGGTTGCGCTCAGCTGATTCTGACAGATTCGGACATCAGACGCAAGATGATGCAAGTGCCCGCCTCAACCCGAACATCCCCGAAGCATGCTCACCATCACCTGCTGCCAGATTCGTTTGGATGAAACTTCTTGGACGCGTTGGCAGTAGAATTTCTGCACATCCTCCAGGGCCCCGCTGCTTGGGGCAAGGGGTCATGGTGCAATCAAAGATTCTGGACAAGCCAAGCCATGCCACAGAAGAATGCGAGCAGAGTAACCGAACACATGCTGGGGGAAATATGTATATATATATATATATATATATATCTGTGTGTGTGTCTGTATGTATCTACACATAAATGTATATGTGTGTCTGATGGAGAGACAGAGAGGAAAAACAATGGCCCTTTGACGTCGCAGAACGTCCAGACGTCCCTTGCGCGGCAGTGGGAGACCGAACAACAAAGCAGGTAATATGGCCAGAGTCGTAGGCAACAAACGAAAGCGTAAAGCAAATCGCTCCAAGTGAGCTTGGGGAGTAATTAAACTCACAGAAAATGAAAGCACACCTCAGCGAAAGCCACAAGCTGAGGTGAAGGGCGACAAAATGCCTAAGAACCATCAAGAAGTCGGCAATGGATCTCCGCACGAAGAGCAGCTACTACTGAGACGTCACTTCACGCAAGTTGCCGCATTGACCTGATGCACTGCAGGCCTCCTTACTCGCCGCCGCCTGGGTTTCTAGGAGGCGGCAGTGAACAATCCGGAGCGAACCGAAGAGCTCCACGCAGCGCGACCACCCCGAGGAAAGCCCACACCAAAGTCATAATGCTGCGATGCAGCGCGCTGCTTGCACCAAGGATGCACTAGGAAGGGAGGGTCCTCTGACCCTTTCACCGGCTGGGACAGCATGGCAGGTGAGGCCACACGGCCTCCAGGCCCAAAACACACTGATACCGTCCAGGACTAAAGCCTTCAAGACCCCATGTCCTGCGCCAAAAAAAAGGTGCAGTTCCAGGAGGAGAAGCACTGAGTCCAGCAATCTTAAAAGAAGAAGATCTCTCGCATCCAGCAAATACCGGGATGAGCGGCTGCGCATGGTGAGCAACCCATAGCCACTAGATAGTAGAACCATGCAGAACCATGCAGAACCATGCAGAACCATGTAGAACCATGTAGAATCATGTAGAATCATGTAGAATCATGTAGAATCGTTTGCAGCTCCCAGAGCGGAGGGCGAATGGGACAGGCGAGGGGCACACTCTGCGAGGCCTCTCGGGCGACGTACCCCCCAAGACTTGTCACTGACCCGCTGCCTATTGCACTGGCACAGCGTATAAATACAACAAGCAGAACCCGCGCCCGCACCCGCGGGGCTGCTACTCATGCACTGATTGCGTGATGGTCCAGATAGCTGGTCGGCGTCGCATTGCTTGATCCGGCTCAGTCGTCATACGCAGTGCAAGACAGAAAAAAAGCGTTGTGCATGCAACTGTCTGCGCTGCTATGCTCGGGCGCAATGCTGGGGAGAGGAGAGACGGGAGAAGGGAGAAGGGAGGGAGAAGGGAGAAGACGGAGGGAGGGAGGCAGGACAGAGACAAGGACAGATCAACACAGAGATACCCAGTAACAACCTGTCAGTTGGGGAAGCAATTGGGGAAACATGTCCTCGTGGCAGGTACTGGAAATAGCTCGGAGGTTAATGTCGCCAGCTGCTGCAGCCAAACATCGCTTGAAAGAAGGAATCTTTCCTTTCGCACAGATGGTTTCAGCAACGAACCGAGCAGCATACGGCACAAATCACTATTTTGCTGTCCTCCAGATATTGCATCACTCAGCAGGGTCCCAGCAACTGGCACATACCAGGCTGCCATCCCAAATAGAAGGCGCACCATTCAGACATTAAAGCCGCCTTGTTCGTGCGAACACAACTGATCGCTTGAGCCTCTGTCGCAATATCGAAAGTCGCTTCCACGTATGTTGCAAGAGCTGGTTACAACCTTGGTAACCGAAGTCGACGCACCTTCTGCTTCAGAGTGATGAGAAGCTGCATGAGGCGGGGACTGCCTGAACACCAACTAAACAGGAAACAGGTTTAGGACCAGGTGCTGCAGCGACTTCCGCAATCTGACGAATGACTCTTTAAGTGAACGCAAAAACGCCTCCAGTGCCCAAAAGCTGCCTGGTTTCATTCTCTATCCTTCACTTGTCTTACCCTGCAACATTAAACAAAGTCCCCAGTTACGGACACGGACAATTTTTGCACGCATGCTGATACACCAAAACATATTCCTATGAATGTCCCATTGATTCCAGCAACAGCAAACGCGCGAGTCCAGAACCAAATGTTACCAACGAGGCGTAAAACACAACGTGAAGATCCTATTGAACTCAACAGCCGCAGTCATCGAGCACTGGAAACTCATATTTACTTCGGCAACTTTTGTAAGGCAGCTTGCTGGCCAGTGCATGGGCTAGGGCGGCTTGAAAGTGTTGAAGGCAGGCTTGTCCAGAGTTGCGGATGCTGTAACCACCACAAACACAAGATTAATAGCATTATCACAGACACAATAGGCGATCGTTCAGTGCGATCGTTCCTTCATTCTCGCTCCCTTTAACCTCACCATCCTCTCCCCCCTCCACCCCTTTTCCTGGCAGAATTCACGCATTCCACCTTATCCTGGGATTGGTGCAGAGCAAAACACCTTTGCGAGTACGTACTGCATGGAAGCGGCAGGGCCACGAACCAAACCCATGCTAACCGCTGCTGAACGTTGAAGAGTGCGAAGGCCTGCCTCTCAGTCGGACAACATCTGCAGCACTTAGGTCCTAAGACCGGAGATGATTCGAAGCTTCCATATGGCATGCGCAGCTGAATGAGCACATGCTGCAACCCAAGAGTTTCTGGCCTCAGCACCCTCGTCCAAGTCCATGCAAAGGGAGACATTGTTGAGCATCAACAATGCCTCCACAATCCCGCAGAGTTTGTACTTGAAGGAAGAACTGGACCATTCGGAGCGCAAATTTCACGCATGACATCAATCAAGTCAACAGCTTAGCCTTTGCCATGCTGAGCTCCTCTTTCAACTGACTTGGGTCAACCTCACGGTCAAATTTTCCGATATCTAGAGCCGGGCAAATGTAAAGGGAGTGCAATTGAGCGAGCGCCCAAAAAGATAAGCAAACATCTGATGCGGCTTCTATCTCGCTCTTTCTCTCTCTTGCTTTCTCTGTATTCTCTGTTCTTGCCGCTCCTCGGCAGCGCGAGATGCCAACGTTGTGTTGCCATCGCTGGCCTGCTGAGAACGATTGAGACGTCCAAGCGTTTCAAAACCACCGGCATTGGTCCACTAGTCTACGATCAACTACGTAGACTCAGAGCCTGCTCATTGCTCAGCCTGGTTTTGGGATCAGGCGGGAGCATCGTATCCTGGGCAAAATTGAACAAATTACAAATTAGGCGGGAACTAATGACATGGCGGACCTCAATCGCAAGCCCCAGAACGTCAGCATGATCCTGGCAACGGAACTTTTCAAGCGGCACAAACGGTTGGGGGGGCAACCAGTGCAATTTCAATGAGACTCCTGCAGCTCGCAGCTGAAATGCGGCCGATCCACATCCGCACCGTGGCTCTGCCTGCCTGAACACAACATGCGAGAGGTGGCCCAAACCGGGAATGGTGAATATTGAGTTTCGGCTAAACACTAAGGCGGGCACAAGCACGTATTTCGTTTAAGGCTTGCCTTCAACGAGTCTTCTGAGCTCAAGGGTCTTCGTGTGTAGTTGCAGAATGCCCAAGTTGCAGCGCAAGCGAAACTCAAAGCATGCCGGGTCACTTCAATCTGTCTTGCAAAGCAGCAATTAACTGCTGGCCATGGCCTCGCGAGACTGTCAGCCGTGCTGCAAGTCTAGGTAGCATAATGGCATAATGCAGCATGTCTCGGCACTATCTCTCACGCACTGGGAGCTAAGCTCGGCGCTGCCGGTCGCCGCAAAGCCCTCCTGCAGCGTTTCTCATGACTCTGCATACTCTGCCTTTAAGAATTGTCCAGGGCCGCTCTGCGTTCAGACAAAGTATGTGGGCCCCTCGGAGCATTGAAGATTCACACCGCCCTGTTGAAAAGAACACAAAGCCCAAGATCCCGGTCGCTCTTACAAGCGCCTGCCCTACGTCGGAGGAATAGGATTCGAAGTTCATCTGATCTGCCATGAGCTCGAAGCACAACGCATGGGCCACGTGTTTGAAATTTATGTATTCAGATTGTCTACCCACTGTCTTGTTGGCCGCTTCCTAATGTGTGGGGATTGCGTGATTGCGTCATTGTGGCAATCTCGATGTAGCTCGTGGTCTGCAACTCGGACACAATCACAACACATTACAAGTCAGTGACGTCACATGGCAACCGGTAGCAGTGAAGTAGCAGTGAGGCAAAGAATTAACTGCCAGAAACTAATAGTGTCCATTGTCAGGTTTCCTATGGTCTGCCCAGTCTTGAAGCAAGGGTAATAGGGCCGCTTTGCCTACGCATGTGCTCACCAAGTCCCAAGCCTACCCCTCGTTCTGCACATGCTCGCCGCTGCTCTTGCTCCAGTCTAGCACATTGAGTCATGGCATGGGCTTCCATGCTGTCCATACACCGAAGATGGATCAGGAACCGTCGGCTTTTAGCTTCCGCGCCGCTCTAGCCTGTTTCAGGTCGCCAGGTGGCATCATCCAGCCCTGGTTTGCAAAGCACGGCAACATGCAAGGCAGCATCTAGGTTCTAGTGAGTTCTAGTGTCAGATCTTGGCTTCCGGTACACTGTCAACGTGCAGCAGTTTCCGGCCTTCCCAATCTCCAGCTTGAGCTAGATGCGTTGCATATTGCAAGCGCTGGCCAGGGAAGGCAACAGAAATCGCAAGCAAGTGCCGACATGGACAACATCTAATTGCATATTATACATATATACACGTTATTGATACACTATAAGTAGACTATTTTTTATAAACTATTATATTATAATGTATTAATTAGATGGCACGCCCCCCCCCCCTTGACCTACCATGTTTCTCTTGCATTTCCTTTTCGGTGCCCAATACGTGGAAAAATCAATGCTACCGATGTTTTCCATGTTGGGAACTATGAGCCTGAGTCCCGGAGATCTCTAAGAAACCATGGAAATCTTGGAAAACATTGGTTTTACTATTTTCCGTCCCAACTCATGGAAAAACGTTGGAAAAACTAAATTTCCGCGCTTTGGAAGCCCGGAGATCTCTGGCAAACCATGAAAATGTTGGAAAACATTGTTTAATGTTTTCCATGGTTTTAAGAGAATCAAGGAAAACATTTTTCCAATGTTTTGCAAACTGCCCTACACGACCTGAAACGTACCATGTGCGACAACCATTCCCTTCGAAATTTGCCCGCTGCTTTGGAATCTCTCGGGTTGGTCAAGCTTCAAAGATGTGAGGCTTTAACAAATTATTGTTGATTCCAGGCGGTGTTTGATTAAGTAGACTTGGAAGGCGTTTGGGAGGTCTTGGGAACCATTGACAAGATACCCGTCAGTAACCTCGTGCCCACCCCCACCTTTGCTATAGAAAACGCATTGACAAGCACATGGAAGCACATTTCATTCGAGCGAAGGCCTCCTATAACCGTTCCTCGGACTCCTGAAGCGCCAACATGTGCCTCAGTTCTTAAAAAGATTTTGTGAACTAATACGAGGTGCTTGCATGTGCTGCACTTGGGCTAGAACGAGGAATACTTGGATTTTCATTTCAAGGCCTGGGAAGATGAGCTCTTGGTTGGATTGGCTTTACTGTACGGGTGTTTGGATTTTACTAGTAAGGGTTGAAAAGAAGAAGTGTTTGCTCCGTACTTGTACTTAAAGATCACGCAGACTTACTTGATATAATAGAAATATAATTACTTATTACTCAAGTATAACTGGTTAGTAAGGACATATTCAGATGAACAGTTCTAAGTCGTGATAAGCCGTGTTAAGGTTTAGAAACATTAGATGACTTATGTATGTGTTTAGAAAACTTGGATAAATTCTAGTAAAGTTACAGACAAAAGTTAAGTGGCTGCGGATGGATAGCTAAGTGCTTGGCCCACGTAGCTTATTAGTTAGCGAACTCTGGCTAACTTATTAGCAAGACAGCTGATCCGTTAGCTAAGTGGTTAGCTATGTGGTTAACTTCTTCATTTTTGCATTGTAAATGATTTGCTAAGTACTTAGCTAAGCATTTCGCCAGTTAGCTACATGCTTAGCTAACTAATTAGGAAACTAGTTGCTAACCACTTGCTAATTACTTAACTTAATACTTACCAAGTGACTAATGTCCCCCTTAACCTCCGAGTTAATTAACATAATCCTTAACAAACACTATAACCACAGCGTATCTTAAAAGTACTTGCTTGAAAGGAGGGAAGGTTTAGTCTTAGTTCGGTACCGTGAATTAGCGCTATCCACTCCAAGTGAAACAACAAACCGCTCGGTGCGCGAGGGAACAGAAAAGCCTCTAGTCCGTGGTTCCGCCGACGAACGTTGTATTTCTGCCCCACACTGTATTGGCAGGTCCTCTAGAATAAGAACACATTCGTAGATGTCAACGAACGTGCCATATCGCTGCTTTCGCCGTCACAAGCTGCTGCTTAATCTGTGGCACCTTTCAATCGAACCCTGATTGAAGCCATACCACCTGCCTTCTGCTGAGACAGAAGGAGTTTCGAGTTGCTCGCTAAATAATCTCGTACAAGGGCTTCATCTTTGCCACTCTTTTCCGGTCCGCTGCTGTGGTTCTGAACCCCATTCTCGGCGAATGGGGCAACAATTCGCCTTGTGAGTAAAGCACAGGAGAACCTGAGCTCGTTGGTGCATTCGTGAGTGAGTCGGTGGGTGAGTGATGGCACCTGCTCGAAGCAGCACTGCGCCGAGGACGCCACCGTGAACGTCATTGCCCCTCCGCTCCGTTCAAGCTGCCAAAGCGCCCCGGAAACACCCGGCCAAGGTGGCTTCCAGGGATTGTCGCTGCACACAGCAGCCGTCACTGGAAGATAAAAAAATGGAAAAAACATGACTGGCAGGGAGAAACGCACCAGCGTGAAGGCGTCACCTGCCGGCCACTCTTGCGAGGGGGCCTGGCGGTCCGGGTCTGACCCTGCGAAGCAGGACTGCGCGAACAGCTCGATCCGCCCGCAACAGAGCCCTAGCGCTGCGCCACTGGGCTGGCAGGCAGCAGCTGGTACAAGCAACATGGCTGATAGACAGGCAAGAAGTGCGGATGCAGATGTGCGCAGGTCCAAGTCAACAGCTGGCACAAGTAACATAGCTGATCGGCAAGAAGTGCGGACGCAGATGTGCACAGGTCCAAGTCAGCAGCAGAAAGAAACACGCGGTAACGGGTGTCAACCCCGCATCTGCGTAAACAATTCCTGCCTATAACCGCATCGGCTGCCGGCCCGTATCTCACAGACGGTCGTCGCCAGCAGTTTAAGAGGGCCACGGGGTCCGCGACAGAGTTACTGCCTCCTGCGGCAACAAGTAAGGCACCCCGACCCAGGGCCAAACGACAAACTCGTTGAGGTCCCGTTCCTGTCTAAGAGCAGGGGAGGCAGGCTCCCGATACTCCATACAGGGCAATGACCTGGAGCTCTGCTCCATCTGCCAACGTTACGGACGCCGCAATGCGTCACTGATAGCCTATTGCCCCTTCCGCAAGGAATGAAAGTTCATGTTTTGTTAACAGACTCAATGCCCTCCTTGTACAGGGCTTGATCAGTTAACGGCAACACTGCTCCAAATTTGCGCAGAAGATCACGTCAAGGAAAGCATGTCGTCGCCGCAAGCCTACGCGCTCTGTGTTAAATAGTTGTTTGCAGCACAGGCTTCGTGCAACTCGTGGAATTCCGGCTTTCGGCATACATGAAAGCCAGCGGGGCGCAAAGGTTTCACTCGATCCTCGACGGAACCTTGTGGCAGAATGGCACAAAACGTGTAGACACTATATGGTGGGATACTAATTTAGGTCCTTTTTCATGGGATACTAAATAAATTTGGATTCTGTATTATGGGACACTGAGCAAGTTTTGATAGTCTTTAAGCAAAATTAGACCCTATTTCGTGGAATGCTACGGACATTTAAGTCCTATATGGTGGGACACTAAACAAATTTTGATTCTTCGTAGTGGGACATTGTCCTATGTAATGGGACACTAGGAAAATTTGAGCCGAATCTGGTGGGACAAGCCTTGTCACGAAGATGTTGTGCATCGAACTACCCCATCAACATGGGAACACCTGTTCCCAAGGATTAGCTTTCTGCTTATCCTTCCAGCCGTTCAGGCTTGCAACTTTTCGATGCAGGGGGACTGGATCTGATATGCCTATCTAGCCCAACGAAGCTATGGCAAGTCAGTGGATGGTGTACCTGCATTTGTCAATTTAACATGCGGTTTGTAATCTGTTTAGGATGCCGTTCCCCGTACCTTCTGGCAGGTACGTACAAAATCATCATGTCAGGGTTCATGACTGCCCCCTGTGGCTACATGTTTCTTTGACCTCTGAAAGGGAAGCTCGCAGGAGTGTGTGCGTGTGTGTGTGCTCCCACGATGAACAGCATCTACAACATCTGCTCGATTATGGCCAAACCGTTGTCTAATGCCTTGCCTTCTTCCCGCAATACGAGATGTTCTCCATGCATCGTGAAATGGCCAAAGTGGATGGGGCAGCAAGATCTTGTTGCGCGCGCGAAGCATGCGGCGTGCAGCTGAAGGTGAGAGGCGTCAGCTGTCCAGACTTGCACAGCAATGATGTCTCCGATGCCGTGTAGCCAATCGCGCAGCGAGGTGTGCAGCGAGCCCCATCTGGCACCATCGACAGTAAGTCCGGAATCTCCGAAAACTCCCAGCAAGCACCAGCTGGTGGAGACCACCGGACTTTCGGAGCCAGGCAGTCTCCTTCACATCTGCTTTCAACCCACAGGAAGAAGGCAAGCATCCGCATCCACATGGCCTCTAAGCGATGGCATCGCAGCTTTGGCCCGGATAACTCACCATAAGTCTGGCTCAAGCAAAGCACAAAGCGAAGTCCATGCGTTGATATCAGCAACCGCAACAGCTGACGCAACACTGTGCTGGCTTCCGACCTTTTGTTCGTGCTCACATGTGCACACAAAACCGCTTTGGTGTGAGTTGTGAAACACTTCCTGCCCTTAAGGTACATAGAAGAAACGGCAAGAGTAGAACAAGCATGGAAAAGCGCGGGCCCATCTACTTATACGGGTATTGATTGGGAAGTGACATCTGGGCCAGATACAGACACATAAATCAAGGAAAGAGGAAACAAAGAGGTCCAAGCCAGAAATTACTTAGGTCAAACCCCAAGCTGAATTCTCTCTCAAGTTTTTGCCGGGGCAAATGAGTTCTATGCGGGGATGTTATTGGAGGGGGTAGGTGTTCCAGGACTACTCTCCTGGAAACTCTGGAGGACTTTGTGGGGGCTGGTCTCCAGAAAGAGGGAGGGAAGCAAAAGGGCAGAGGGGAGGGGGTGGGGGGGGGGGGAGGGGGCGAGGGGAGGGGGCGGGAGGGGGCGGAATGAGGGGGTGGAGGGAGGGGACGGGGGGAGGGGGCGGGGGCGGGGGGGAGGGGAGGGGGGGGAGGGGGGGGAGAAGGAGAGCAACTATAAGAGTGATGAGGGAGCATGGTGCTACGTGTCTGGTGTTTCATTGGGGCTTAAGCTTGGCTTCAGTGGTTAGGCGGGCGGGCGAAAGGGCTTCACCCCCTGCGCACACACTTCCAAGAAACACTTAACTTCCGCATTCACATTTAAAGTCAGGTCTACGTGTCAATGCTTGCCATCTTCTTTCTTTCCTTCCTGTCCAGGTCCATGAGTCGGAGACTACAGCTCGGCCACATCATGATGAAGTTGAGGTGGCTGCGGCTTCGCCTCAAGAACCACTCGAAGGCTGCAATGGCACCAAAGAAACTCCGGCGTTGCATGAGCGAGAAACACTCGGTAATTACGACAGTGCTTCTCGTTCCTTGGACCCGAGGGACAGGTAGCTGCCGTGGCCATGCGCCCTGTTGCATGGCAATTTGCAGCTTGGCATAACCATCTCCTTGGCATCTAGCTGGGACCTGCAGCCTGCTGCCAGCACCATTCCGCAAGGGCAATTTGCAACCATGAAACTCCAGACATGCACGTCGAAGATATTGATTTGCAAGCCGCCTGGAAGAAAACCATCTAAAGCATGCACTGTGGAAGTCATGCGGTGCAAATCAGGTTAAGACTGTCTCTATCTAAGCACGAATACAGTCCCACCACCGCTGATTGACGGAAGACTTTGAATTCTAGGTTTTGCATTTTACGTACGAATGTAACTCAAACCTTCCGCAGAGGTCCGCCTACGATTGCCGCGACTGCAAGCGCCAGCAAACCTCCGCCAGATGTAAGTCTGAAGCCGAGCAGAAAGGGATATCTGTTGGAAGCATGCAATACAAGGCTTCTTTGGAGCCACACTTGACCAAGAGGGTGCAGGCAATTCAGGCGTGCATCCGAGTCTCAAGTTACAGAAGGATCACCGTGCCTGCGACGAAAACCAGAAGCATGCAATTCACGCCCAGCAAGGCCCAGGTGTCGCCCTTCTCTGTCCTCGGATGAAAAACATCCCAACAGTGCTGCGTGGCACATCATAGCTGTCACGGCCAATCCTGAGGCTAAAGTGTGCGTGAAAACCTGCACCGCTGGCTGATTTCTGCCACTTGCCCGTACTTGCCCTGCTCGCGTTTACCCACACTTGCCCGCGCTTGCCCGCGCTTGCCCGCGCTTGCCCCACTTGCAGCGGTCTGGATGCGGAACCGGTGCCGCTGCCCGAGTTGCCCCACTTGCTCTATCTGCACTGCTAACATTCATGCCACTTGCCCACCTTGCCCTACTTGCCTCGCTCTCTGCTTCTCTCCCCTGTCCCTTCCTTCGAGCCGCCAGAGTGGAGGCTGCCTCGGGACGGGAGAGCGGGCAGGGAAGCTTGCCCCACTTGCTGACCAGGGAGGGGAGGGCATACCGGCTTCAGGCTGTGTCTGCACCTGGTAGCCGACACAGTCCGGGAGCGGACGGTGCATCAGGACCAGGGGGCGATCATAGGGCTGTCGGGCAGCCCCCCCTGCCCCTGTCCACGACCAAGTTGCCACTCCCCTGTCTTACCCTTGTTTTGCTTTTGCCCATCCTGGTCGCTGCGGTGGCGGCAGGCCCCCGGCGGCGGGCGGTCGAGGCGGGTCCCGGAGCGTTAACATGATAGCTCTTCCGAAAAACAAGTGGGGCAAGCGGAGCAGAGAACGTTTGTGCTTGCCGCGGGTGCTCGCAATGTGATGTTGCCAAGTCGCAACTCCATCCATTCCTTGATGACTTGTTTGGACTCTGGCGTTAGGTTAGCCACGCCTTGGCGAAACGTGGCCTGGCGTTCGATGCACAATCTCACTCGTCTCTTGACTGCTTCTGTGCGCTTTGCTGTGATGAGCTTTGCTTGCGCGCTGTGCATTTGAACCCATTTGCCCCAATTTGGCCTCCTCTTCTGGCTTCAGCTTTCCTTGACGAATCCTCAGAGGCCTCAGCTTTGAGCTCCACAATTGCAAATTGAGTACAGCCGGTAAAGCACCAAAATGCAGACATCCGAGCCACTCTGGTTGGTTGCGTTGCTCCTTGTCCTTCTGGCCCTGCCCGGACACACTGTCGCGGACTCTAGCGCTCTCTCTGTTAAACGGCCGTTTGCTGCCCGGAAGCTTCTTGACTTTCTTGAATCTCCGTCGGCTCCGAGGGCTCCTGCTGAGTTTCACCTGCAGCTGTCGATAGATGGATCGCTGCCCGGCTAGCACAGACAACACCCCATCAACACCCTTCCATCATCTGTATGGCCTTCTGTCGCTTGCACTAAATTCTCCGTCTCGTCCTCGCACCCAAATTTTTGCACCAAATACAAAACTACAGGTGGCCAGCAGGTAGCCTCTCGGGCTTCTTTGTCCCAGGAGGTGGGCTGCGATGAAGCACCGCTCAGTACGAAAACCTCAGAACGTCAGCCCCTAATGATGTTATGCATGCCCCGTGGGACAGCTCGCATGCGTAGTCGCGAGCGCGCACAAATGCCACAAAGGTGCAATGGCAGCCACAATGCCCGCCTGGCGTGTTCGCAGGCTACCCTTTGGCTTTGTGTAGAATTCGCCGCGTGACGACCGTCACATGATGCAGGTTGTTTTCTTGGTTTCCTGCTTGTTTCCGAGACTGGGAGGTGCAGCCCCCACAGCAGCCCCCACAGCGGTCAAAACGCTGACGAATAATCTCTTGGCGTCAGCTATCATGGGGGAGTGGGGGGGGGGGGGGGGGGGGGGGGGGGGGGAGAGCGGCCACAGCCAAACATCGCAAAAAGTTCGTGCTACTACTGCAAATATAGCTTCCGTTACAAGTACTGTTACGACCACGACTGTTACTTACTGCGAGTCTGAATCACTCACACTGCTTCTACAACTATCACTATCATTTGTAGTATTAATTACCATTGCCATTGCCATTCTCATTTTTACCGTTGCTACTACGATTGCGAATCTGGCACATCAGCTATGAGATGGAAATGCTCTCAGACTGTGGCGTGCTTGTGACCCTTTATCACACGCTCGGCACTGATTACTGATTTCTTGACTTTGGGAACTCAGCTTCTCCCAAATCCACTCGAAACCCCAGCTGCAGCCAAGCGACACCTCCAGCAACCTGGTCGCAGCTAGGCTTCAACTCAGAGGTTCAGTGCACAGCGGCCGCATCAAATGACTGCGGCCGCAACACGAGAGCCGGCAAGGCTTCGCTCGGTATTGTACCGACAACCATGCCTGCCCAGAGCGATGGCTGAGCATTGAACATCTTACATGACCCTACCGCAATGCTACTGCTTTTACTGCAATTGCACACTTGATGCCTCCTGCTTCTGCCAGCGGTGACCACAAAGAAGGCGAAAATGCTATGGCCCGCTGCTGAGTTTAGACATGAACAAGAACCTGACATGAACGATACCTTCACGCGCTAAGGCTTCTGGCAGTGTGCGGCGTGCAAGATGTAATAAGGCCGTGCTGAGGCGAGGTGCGCACAGCATCCTGACGCCACTGTTGTTTCTCTTGTACAGCATGTTTAACGGTGCCATCGTGCAACGCTTTCCCATGGATCCTCAATGGACCAAACAGTCAACATTACCAGGTTCATATTGCGGAGGTTGCATGCCTAAGCGAAGATCTTGCACAGCATACAGAGGGTCTCATGCGTCATGCGTCGGAGCTGGCGTGCCAGTATTGCCTGTTGAGCCACGTATAATCAGGGAAGACCGTTCTCGCGTTTGCCGCTAGTCCACCACTAGCTGTAGAAGCTCCGGTTCATGGCAGAATACCTATCATGTCTCTCTGGGTCCCATCCGGCACTCCATTTTCTGAGGGCATCAGCCCTAGGGCCCAGTCAGCTCTGCAAAGCCTCGCCCTGTTGCATTTGCGTCCGGATGGGCAGATTGGCGTTTGAGCCAAAGGGAATCAAAGGGACATATAGGGACATAAAGGGACAGTAAGACTCCAAGAGGGCAGGCAAGGCTTGACCCCAAGGCTGGCATGCTGAGAGTCTTGTAAAATGTTGTGCAGATGCAGCGCAGACCTTTCTTACCTCAAGCGCGATGGACCGCGACGGATCGACGGATTGTAAAGGAAGTTGCCGGAAATGGCAAACTACAGATGCTCTGATCCAAGGGAGTGGCCCAGGGACTGCTAGGGGTTCTTGCAGTGCTGGGCTGCCAAGGGCAAACACGCAAAGCTGCGCGTTCACCGGCATGAGTTTCATGGCCCATGTGTCGATTGAGCTCTGCAGGCACACGGCAGGTACACAACTGAGCCAAGGTTTCACGACACAACTTCTTCTTGCCTTGGGTCTAGGTTCTCCCAGCTTCACAATGCTTCACAAACGACAGAGCCATGCAAAATTGGTTCAAGATTCTACGATGAATTCCTTACACAAACGGCGAGTCTACGTTTGCAGACCCACAACCAAAGCAGCTGACATGGCATTCACGCGGGTGCTGAGCGACTGATGACTGCGAGCTTCATTTGCCTGAGCCGCGCTGCATGATTGCGTCGATCACGTCGTCGCTCAAAGAACCACCCTTCTCATTGATGATGCTCCTGTTGAGCTCGCGGTCCGTGAAGCCCATGTCTGCCAAGGTCTTCAGCATGTCCTCCATGCTCTGCGGGATGCACTCCCCAGGGAATCGGATGGCACCGTTCCCCGATTTTTGTGGCTTGGCCTCGTTTGAGAAGTATGCACCAGTGACGTTGGTGATCGCATCTGTCACACCACCGATGAAGACGTCTCACTGCGTCTTGGCCAAAACTGGCTCCTCGACACCGTTCAAAGCACAGCTTTGCAAATGCTTGTAGAAGGTGCTCCAATCCATGCGCGCACCTCGGTCTTTCTGTGCATCTCTTCCTGTGAGGTCCCTGAAGACAGTGGCCGCTGTTTCCAAGGAGTACTTATTTCCTTGTGGGAAAGTGTTCATCAGATCCGAAGCTGCAAGCAAGTTGTCCCTGTCAGCGTCGGCATCCTGGAAGATTTTGAAGATCTTGGGCTCGAACTCTGGCTGGCTCAGGTCGATGCAGGCTGCCACAAACTCAGTCCAATTGATGGCGTCCTTGTCTTGGCTCAAGTTCATGGCCACAGCAGCGCGGCTTGCCTCGGCCTCGTCGACCCCGTGCTTCATCAGGGTGGCCTTCAGGGACTCTGTCGCCAGTGAGCCATTCCCGTGCACATCGAACTCGTTGAAAAGTTGCTTGAAGGTCGGCATCTGGTTAGGCGGCCAATCCTGCGCAATCTTCATGGCGATGTTCTTGTAGAGTACGGATCGGCAATGAACGGAAGCCAGGCGCTTGATCAGCCTTTGCCGGCTGGACTCATTGAGACTGCCAGTCTGCTTCGGGGCGGATGCATCTTTCAAGAACTTGCTAGCCAGACACTGAGATGCTGATGGGCGACGCTGGCGCTCCTGCAACAACATGCCTTCTAGGAGGTCCTTGACATCCCTGGATGCGCCAGAGACGTACTGCCACGCAGGTCGCGGCTTCTGCCGCCAGAACTTCACAACATCATCAAAGTTTCCTGCGAACTTGACTCGAAAGGGCATCTCCCCACAAAGAAGCTCAAAGAAAACACAACCGCAGCTGAAGACATCAGCTTCGGGAGTGATTTCACCCCACCAAACCTCTGGAGCCATGGTCATGGGCGTGCCCATGGGACGATTTCCTCGATAGTCCCCAGGCTTGAAGTGCATGGCAATCCCCAGGTCAATGACTACCACATGGGGCTTGGAGTTGAAGGTTGAGCACTTGGCATCTTTAGCATCCCCTTTGCCGAAGAACGCTGCTGTCTTCTGGCTGGGCATTAGCATTATGTTCTGCGACTTCACATCCAAATGAATGATTCCCCGGACATGGATGTGGCAAATCGCCTGCATCAGCTGTTGCATAGCTTCAGCAATCCATGGCATAGGAATATCCTGGCGAGTTTTCTTCGCGTTTGAAATGTGGCCATGCAGCTCTCCACCTGGACAGAAATCTGTCACTAGGAACACATCGTCCTGTGTGCTGTAGACCTCATAGAGCTTGAGAATGTGAGGGTGGTCGAGGTGCGTCAGGTTCTCGATTTCCTTCTTCATTGCCTGCATGTCACCATGCAGCTTTTCTTTGGAGATCTCTTTAACAGCTCGTACCTGTTTCGAGTGCTTGTCGTTCGCCAGGTACACAAAGCCATAGGTGCCATGCCCAAGTTCCTTGCCTTTGGTGTACTTCTTCCAGGGGTCTCCTTCCTTAAAGGAATCAATGGAGAACCGAGGGATCGCTTGCACGGAAATCTCCTGCTGCAGCTGCAGAAGCTCCCAGAAGACCCTTTTGAACTCATCCAGCACCAGGCCCGACCCACTTCGGGACTGTGTCAGATGGACTTGGGAGCCCACAAGCCCGAGCAGACCATCCAAGTATGCACCCAAATGTGGCACTTGCTCTGCAGGGATGGGGCGGTCCTTTGATTTTGCCGCGCTGACAAAGATTTGCTCTGCAACTGGCTCCACCTGTTCCTGCTGCACAATGCTCTGAGCTGTTGCCACCTGCTGAGCATTGGGGATGGTCCTCGAACGAATTTTCCGTCGTTGATCGGATCGGCTGATGAAGGCATTTGGTTTGACATTGAGGCAAACGCCGCCTGACTCATTGTTCACATCCGTGATAATGGCTGGCATCCAGCACTGGAAATGGTCGCTCCAATAATCCAACTGCTGGCCCTTCACGAGCTCTGATGGGTCGATCGGCCTGGGCATAGGAGCCTCGGGTTGGACTTGTTGGAACTGCGGAAGATGATATGCAAAGGCAGCATGCCCCGGAGATGAGCTGCGCTTGGGTGGTGCAGAAGCCTGACCCTGAAGCCCATACAACCTGCGCATGTCTGGCACTGGCGTGGCAGGGCGGCTGGGACCCCCCTGAGGCCCCCCTTGAGGGTAGCCTGCAACAGGGGTTGGCATGTGCAAGTGTTGCATCTTGCCAGCGTTCGACGTTCGATCTGCACCACGGCCGCAAGGAGCTTGCCAAAGGCTGCTTCAAATCGCTTGAGCCAAATCACAGCATGCTCCGAGATGGGGCACGTTCAACTGCTGTGATGGAATCGAGCAGGAGAGCCTAGCAGTAGCAGTAGCACTAGCAGTAGCAGTCGTCGTCATCATAGCAGAAAAATTAAAGAACAAACGAATACTCATATTCCATGTACAAGTGAGAAACGATGGGCAGACAAATGTTGTGAACAAACGTGCACAATAATCGTAGTACTACTGGCACAAGCCGTAGCGAATAGTTCATGAATTGCTCAAGCACTTGCAGGAGTGGGTTCCGGCGCTGAGAGCAGCAGGCGGAGCGCCGGAATGCATGCAGACGTTGAAATCGACGACCCTCTCGGTCACGTGCATGTACGCGCCGATGTCGCCGTCTCGAGACTTCAAAAAGAGGAGTAAAACAAGTTTGCCGTCAGCGGCGTTCCAACTACCCACGCCTCGGTCCCGTGATGTCCCGTCATGTCCCGTCGCATATGCTCCTTGATACTCCTCGCGTCGCTTCTGGGGGAGTGTTCTCGGGATCTTGCCGAGAGGTCTTGGCGTGGAATGCTCTTGGCACTTGTCGGGCGGCATATCCTAGCATTGGAGATGCAAGCAATGGTTGAAACAATATGAAATAACCCTCAGAGCACGAACAGTCTTTGTACGAATCATACATGCAAAACAAGCAATCCGAGCAAGCATAAAGAATCAACAGTGACATGTGCCTGCCTAACACAAAAGCAACACCTCTGACCACCAGAAGGCTTAAGGCGTCAGTCGCACCAGCAACCTACAATGGACCACAACAGGACAACAATCACCTCGCGAACATGAACGAGAGAAGGCCCAGTGTGGTTCGGCAAGTGGCCATCTGCTTGGTTCAAACATGAACAAGAACCTGACATGAACGATACCTTCACGCACTACGGCATGCAATGTTGCTGAGGCTTCTGGCACTGTGCTGCGTGCCATGCGTACCAAGATGTACCAAGACTGTGCTGAGGCGAGGTGCGCACAGCATCCTGACGCCACTGTTGTTTCTCTTGTACAGCATGTTTAACGGTGCCATCGTGCAACGCTTTCCCATGGATCCTCAATGGACCAAACAGTCAACATGACCATGTTCATATTGCGGCGGCTTCATGCCTAAGCCAAGATCCTGCACAGCATACAGATGGTCTCATGCGTCATGCGTCGGAGCTGGAATGCCAGTATTGCCTGTTGAGCCGTGTATAATCAGGGCAGACTGTTCTCGCGTTTGCCGCTAGTCCACCAATAGCGCAGAATACCTATCATGTCTCTCTGGGTCCCATCCGGCACTCCATTTTCTGAGGGCATCCGCCCTAGGGCCCAGTGAGCTCTGCAAAGCCTCGCCCTGCTGCATTTGCCTCCGGAAGGGCAGATTGAGAAAAAGCTGATACAGCGTTTGGCGTTTGAGCCAAAGGGAATCAAAGGGACATATAGGGACATAAAGGGACAGTAAGACTCTGACCCCTAGCATGCTGAGAGTCTTGTAGAATGTTGTGCAGATGCAGCGCAGACCTTTCTTACCTCAAGCACGATGGGCCGCGACGGATCGACGGATTGTAAAGGAAGTTGCCGGAGGTGGCAAACTACAAATGCTCTGATCCAAGGGAGTGGCCCAGGGACTGCTAGGGGTTCTTGCAGTGCTGGGCTGCCAAGGGCAAACACGCAAAGCTGCGCGTTCACCGGCATGAGTTTCATGGCCCATGTGTCGATTGAGCTCTGCAGGCACACGGCAGGTACACAACTGAGCCAAGGTTTCACGACACAACTTCTTATTGCCTTAGGTCTAGGTTCTCCCAGCTTCACAATGCTTCACAAACGACAGAGCCATGCAAAATTGGTTCAAGATTCTACGATGAATTCCTGACACAAACGGCGAGTCTACGTTTGCAGACCCACAACCAAAGCAGCTGACATGGCATTCATGCGGGTGCTGAGCGACTGATGACTGCGAGCTTCATCTGCCTGAGCTGCGCTGCATGATTGCGTCGATCACGTCGTCGCTCAAAGAACCACCCTTCTCATTGATGATGCTCCTGTTGAGCTCGCGGTCCGTGAAGCCCATGTCTGCCAAGGTCTTCAACATGTCCTCCATGCTCTGCGGGACGCACTCCCCAGGGAATCGGATGGCGCCGTTCCCCGATTTTTGTGGCTTGGCCTCGTTTGAGAAGTATGCACCAGTGACGTTGGTGATCGCATCTGTCACACCACCGATGAAGACGTCCCACTGCGTCTTGGCCAAAACTGGCTCCTCGACACCGTTCAAAGCACAGCTTTGCAAATGCTTGTAGAAGGTGCTCCAATCCATGCGCGCACCTCGGTCTTTCTGTGCATCTCTTCCTGTGAGGTCCCTGAAGACAGTGGCCGCTGTTTCCAAGGAGTACTTATTTCCTTGTGGGAAAGTGTTCATCAGATCCGAAGCTGCAAGCAAGTTGTCCCTGTCAGCGTCGGCATCCTGGAAGATTTTGAAGATCTTGGGTTCGAACTCTGGCTGGCTCAGGTCGATGCAGGCTGCCACAAACTCAGTCCAATTGATGGCGTCCTTGTCTTGGCTCAAGTTCATGGCCACAGCAGCGCGGCTTGCCTCGGCCTCGTCGACCCCGCGCTTCATCAGGGTGGCCTTCAGGGACTCTGTCGCCAGTGAGCCATTCCCGTGCACATCGAACTCGTTGAAAAGTTGCTTGAAGGTCGGCATCTGGTTAGGCGGCCAATCCTGCGCAATCTTCATGGCGATGTTCTTGTACAATACGGATCGGCAATGAACGGAAGCCAGACGCTTGATCAGCCTTTGCCGGCTGGACTCATTGAGACTGCCAGTCTGCTTCGGGGCGGATGCATCTTTCAAGAACTTGCTGGCCAGACACTGAGATGCTGATGGGCGACGCTGGCGCTCCTGCAACAACATGCCTTCTAGGAGGTCCTTGACATCCCTGGATGCGCCAGAGACGTACTGCCACGCAGGTCGCGGCTTCTGCCGCCAGAACTTCACAACATCATCAAAGTTTCCTGCGAACTTGACTCGAAAGGGCATCTCCCCACAAAGAAGCTCAAAGAAAACACAACCGCAGCTGAAGACATCAGCTTCGGGAGTGATTTCACCCCACCAAACCTCTGGAGCCATGGTCATGGGCGTGCCCATGGGACGATTTCCTCGATAGTCCCCAGGCTTGAAGTGCATGGCAATCCCCAGGTCAATGACTACCACATGCGGCTTGGAGTTGAAGGTTGAGCACCTGGCATCTTTAGCATCCCCTTTGCCGAAGAACGCTGCTGTCTTCTGGCTGGGCATTAGCATTATGTTCTGCGACTTCACATCCAAATGAATGATTCCCCGGACATGGATGTGGCAAATCGCCTGCATCAGCTGTTGCATAGCTTCAGCAATCCATGGCATAGGAATATCCTGGCGAGTTTTCTTCGCGTTTGAAATGTGGCCATGCAGCTCTCCACCTGGACAGAAATCTGTCACTAGGAACACATCGTCCTGTGTGCTGTAGACCTCATAGAGCTTGAGAATGTGAGGGTGGTCGAGGTGCGTCAGGTTCTCAATTTCCTTCTTCATTGCCTGCATGTCACCATGCAGCTTTTCCTTGGAGATCTCTTTAACAGCTCGTACCTGTTTCGAGTGCTTGTCGTTCGCCAGGTACACAAAGCCATAGGTGCCATGCCCAAGTTCCTTGCCTTTGGTGTACTTCTTCCAGGGGTCTCCTTCCTTAAAGGAATCAATGGAGAACCGAGGGATCGCTTGCACGGAAATCTCTTGCTGCAGCTGCAGAAGCTCCCAGAAGACCCTTTTGAACTCATCCAGCACCAGGCCCGACCCACTTCGGGACTGTGTCAGATGGACTTGGGAGCCCACAAGCCCGAGCAGACCATCCAAGTATGCACCCAAATGTGGCACTTGCTCTGCAGGGATGGGGCGGTCCTTTGATTTTGCCGCGCTGGCAAAGATTTGCTCTGCAACTGGCTCCACCTGTTCCTGCTGCACAATGCTCTGAGCTGTTGCCACCTGCTGAGCATTGGGGATGGTCCTCGAACGAATTTTCCGTCGTTGATCGGATCGGCTGATGAAGGCATTTGGTTTGACATTGAGGCAAACGCCGCCTGACTCATTGTTCACATCCGTGATAATGGCTGGCATCCAGCACTGGAAATGGTCGCTCCAATAATCCAACTGCTGGCCCTTCACGAGCTCTGATGGGTCGATCGGCCTGGGCATAGGAGCCTCGGGTTGGACTTGTTGGAACTGCGGAAGATGATATGCAAAGGCAGCATGCCCCGGAGATGAGCTGCGCTTGGGTGGTGCAGAAGCCTGACCCTGAAGCCCATACAACCTGCGCATGTCTGGCACTGGCGTGGCAGGGCGGCTGGGACCCCCCTGAGGCCCCCCTTGAGGGTAGCCTGCAACAGGGGTTGGCATGTGCAAGTGTTGCATCTTGCCAGCGTTCGACGTTCGATCTGCACCACGGCCGCAAGGAGCTTGCCAAAGGCTGCTTCAAATCGCTTGAGCCAAATCACAGCATGCTCCGAGATGGGGCACGTTCAACTGCTGTGATGGAATCGAGCAGGAGAGCCTACATCCTTCTACTTGCTTTTTGGCTTTCTGCGCTGTGCGAAGCTCTTACTCAGCCAGCGCTTGGTCAGGAGCCTGCATTTGCGCGAGAATGCAGAAAACGCGAGGGCTACACACACTGAGTTGCCAGTGCCAACTTGAATTGCGGGAGAGACTCCTGCGAAGCCAGGCAGGGGGAGGGCCACGGACCAAAGCTGCTGCAGCCCTGGCTCTAGCGCCCTGACTCCTCGACACAGATCATTGGAAGAGGGGGCAGAGGATTGAGAGGTGCTGGCGCCGCAAGAGGTTTGCGGTAACAAATCTTCGTCTAGCGGCCGGCTGCGTTTGCTGGTGCTGAATGTCTGCCTGCGTTGTCTTCGGGCATCTGCTCGAAACTGTGCCTCGGGGTAAGCCATGTACATACGTGCAGATAAGACTATCCATCATGGGCAGCAGGGGCTGTGTGCCTTGGACTGTTCCGATAGTCGCTGCCAGCCATCGCGTCCAGACCCGCCACATTTCAAGAACAGCCCGTATGCTCCCAATCTTGGCACAGCAGCCTCTGCACCCAGCACTGAGCATCTTTGGCTATAGCATCAAGCACACAGAAATACATAGAAATACACAGAATCTGCGATGTGCTGCACGTGCGGCACCTTCTTGGAGAATGCAGGCGGCTCCACGCCCCCACTGTGCAATGGCCGCACTGCAGAAGAGGGAACTTGCAAACCTCAGTGATCTTGTTCAATGATGTTCAATGGAACGCTAGGCCGTTAGGCACGGGATTAGTGGTCCGCATTCACTCAGCTTCATCCAATGTGCAGCAGCCGCCTCCATCACAAGCAGCCTCACGGCTTCATCTGATTGAAAAATATGCAGGGTGCTTTGCAGCAGGCACACAGGCTCGCCTCCTTACCAGGGTCTTTCACTCGAGCGACATGGTCTGTAGCTTCTTCAGCAACACCCGGCTCTGGCTCTGGATGGTTGATGGCCGCTTTGTGGCCCCGGATTTCCACCACAACCTCCAGAAGACTACTGCGTAACAGCCCCGGCGAAGTGTCCTTGGCACTATCTCTAGCGATTGCATTGATGTATTGATCGTTCTTGTGCGCGTGACGCTGCATGTCTGGTCCCACCTCATCTTGTGCTGACACAACTTCCTTCACCTCTCCCTTGATCCACTTCCCTTTCTTCTCGCTCCAAACACGGCACTTTTCACCTGGTGCCAAACCACAGCCTTGCCAGCCTGCCAAGTCCTTAGCCAAGTCTTGGATCAGATGGCTCCAGCTAGCTCCAGCTCACATTCACAACGTCTGCAACATCCGCACGTAGGCGTCAAAGCGATGCTGCATACGCAAGGCTCTCCACGTCCACCCCTGTCACCCAGCCGATTTCCAGTGCAAAGGCTCTGTCCTGAAGCCGGGTCATGTGAACCCTCGGGCATGGAAGAACGGCTGACACACATAGTCTGGCAGGCAGCAGAATATCTGCAGCCGAAGATCCCCATACTGCCTTTGATCCGGCTTCAGCCCACACCCCATACTGGCCATTGCCAGAACTAAGTAAGCAGGCGATGCATCACACCAGCGCGTTCACACATGCCTGGAAGCCAAGTTGCAGCACATTCCCTGACAACCGCCATGTCCCTGGCCCCAGCACCACTCCACTTTGGCCGCAGTTGGTGATTGTACAATCGGAGATATCAGCCTAGTCAAGCAGTCCATGACGACATGACGACAAGTCCAAAGACAAAAGCTTCGCCACTCCACAGGTGCCTCCCCATGTCTTAGGAGCAGCCCGTCGCCCACCTGGCTTCCCAACTGAAAACACTTGAGTCACAGCATGCTAACATTGCCACTAAATGCTGCTTGCTGCTGGTGGCCAATCTTTCACACCAAGCCACGCAATCTCGGACGGTGCAAGCGGCCAGCTGCAGTTTGGCGAAAGCTCTGCCTTCCACACCACTTCCAGCAGAGCCCTGTCAAAGCTTTCAAGCAATGTGTAAAGAACACTGTGGGAACAAAGGTCTGTTGCAAAACTCTTTCTAAACTAAAGCAAGCTGCAAAGACATGTGTTCTGATCAGCTTGGCGGATGCACCTTTGGCTAGAGTCACGGAGCCGTTCACCAAGCAATCATAAAGCTCACACGATGTCCCCTCGGAGACCTGGACGGGTGGTTGTACAAACTACCGTCACTTCAGCAGACAAACAAGTACACCTACATCGCCAGAATCGAGACTGCTTCCGGCGTAGCTGCGTGGTGCGGACTTGACGGTGCACGATGAAGATTGGCAACAACAATCAACCAACAACCAACAACCAACAACCAACAACCAACAACCAACAACCAACAACCAACAACCAACAGCCAACAACCAACAACCAACAACCAACAACCAACACGAGAACCACGACACCCACGACCACAACGACCACCACAACCACCACAACCACCACAACCACCACCACCCCCACGACCACCACAACCACCACGACCACCACGACCACCCCGACCACCACAGCCACAATGACCACAACAACCACCACAACCACCACGACCACAAAAACCACTACAACCAGCACGACCACCACGACCACCAAAACCACCACGACCACCACAACCACCACGACCACCACAACCACCACGACCACCTCGACCACCACGACCACCTCGACCACCACGACCACCACGACCACCACGACCACCACCACCACCACCACAACCACCACCACCACGACCACCATGACCACCACGCCACGACCACCACGACCACCAAGACCCCCACGACCACAACGACCACCACAACCACTACGACCACCCCGACCACCAAGACCCCCACGAGCACAACGACCACCACAACCACTACGACCACCCCGACCACCACAACCTCCACGACCGCCACGACCACCCGACCACCACAACCACCACAACCACCACAACCACCACGACCACCACAACCACCACGACCACCACGGAACACCACAACCACCACGACCACCACGACCACCACAACCACAACAACCACAACAACCACCACAACCACCACGACCACCACATAACCACCACCACTACCACGACCACCACGACCACAAAAACCACCACGACCACCACGACCACCAAAACCACCACGACCACCACCACGACCACCACGACCACCACGACCACCGCAACCACCACGAAAACCACAACCACCACGACCACCTCGACCACCACGACCACCACGACCACCACGACCACCACGACCACCACACAAACGCCAACACCAACGCCAACGCCGACGCCGACGCCGATGCCAATGCGAAAACGAACACGTGTGACAGATGGCCTCCAGTACTGGTCCTCCATTGTTCTCTAGCCTCACCCTCTGCAGCGTTACTGGGCCGTCCGAGGCAGATGTTGAAAGTCCAGTGACAATGCAGCAGCGCAAAGCTGGTGGCAGCGGCAACCTTCCAAAAGGATCAAAAATAGCACTGGAAGCCTTGTCTACATCTTGTCTACTGGAGTGTACTTGGAGCCCATGTCACAAGGAAAACCGCAGCCAAGGTTCCCAACAGCAGCTTGGATCACAAAGGGCATGGCTACAACCTTTCACGTCACGCTCTTGCAAAGACCGATGTTGACGTAAAAGTGTTCAAACTCTGTTCGCTTCAGTCTGATTCTTGGCAGGTCTGCGGAATCGGCAATGAATGGTTTCTCCTTCTCTGCGGTGTGGTGCCCTGAGAACTCGGTGCCTCCCTTTGCCCTTCGCCAACACCGTCGCCGGCCACGAGGAACGCCTTGGCGTTCTGCCGGCGCGCTTCAGCGATCTGCTCTGCAAGCGGTTGCCTGAATTTTCATGTGATCCTGGATGAAGCCAGCAACGCAAGCACACGTTCTTACAATGGTGCTGAGCTTCGGACGCAGAAGATGCCAAGTACTGGCCTGCTGACAAGCCAATCTTGAGTCCAAAGCGATTTGAATCAACACCCTGGGCCCTGCGAGCCATCAGCCTGTGGCAGGCTTTTCAGAAACGACGGCTTTCCGCTTCCTGTCCAACTGGCGGCGTGTGAAGAACTTTTACGTTCCAGAACTGTGGTCGCCTTCTTGGCCGGGAAACGCCCAAGTGTTTTTTCCTGGACTGAGGACAGCATGGCACTTGCGAGCCTTGCCCTTCTGCTGCACCTATCTCTTCTAAAGTGCAAGTAAGTCACGCCCGTGCTTTTGCCTCCACTGAGATCCCTGAGCACTCGATGAACTATTGATGCTGCGAATGCAACAAATATTCCACGTCCGACGCATCTCGGTGCCGAACGGTTCGTGCCAGGTTCAACAGCTGTCGAGTTCAAGCCGCCCTGAGGGCTCGAGGGCAACACATCGCTTGCGCGGGCACGGTGGCATTCTAGCTGAGGCAATCGTCGGAGCATCTGCTCGAGACTCGAGCCGACATGCTTGCATGACATCATGCAACTGCTGCTTCGGCATTGCTGATGCCTGATTGGTCACCAAGTCGGAGTAGTAGTAGTAGTAGTAGTAGTAGTAGTAGTAGTAGTAGTAGTAGTAGTAGTAGTAGTAGTAGTAGTAGTAGTAGTAGTAGTAGTAGTAGTCTTCTCTTCTTTTTGGGGGAGGAGGGGCTCTGAGCTCGCAGCTTGGATCCGCTCCATAGTGCCATACGCAATGGATGAGTCGTGCCGCAATATGCTTCCGGATGGAACCAGCTTGTGTCTCGAATTTCAAGCAACACTTGCACACTGCGCACACGTGCGCTTTATCGAGCACTTCGTGTGTTTCCTGTGCTTTGACAGGCAAGGCCGCAGCCTCTGAGAGTCTTGCTTTTCGGTTGCAGGGGCTGTGCAGCAAAATATTTGCGCACTTGAACTCTGCAATTCTGCGCTCAGATTCTGGCAGGTTCGTCCTCTCCTTCAAGCCCATTCCTTGGTGCTGCTCCAGGTCCTGAAGCATCTTGTCCGTCTTGTCCGCTTGGTCACTTTGAAGAGTTCCGGGCCCTGCGAGCTCGCACGGCCCCTCGCCAGGAAACCAATGCCTGCAACAGCCTTGGTGATGCGGCGCAACGCCGTGGAACAATCCCTTGAACGCATTGAGACGTGTTAGTGTTGGCATCATGAGAGATTAAGCTCCCTGTTGCTTCGTCAGCAAGCCACGGACTGAACACAGTTGAACACAGGTTAACAGTTTCAGTTGTCACCGGTTCGACAAGGTTTTGCTTCTCGGTGGTCAGTGGCCTAGGCTTCAGCTTTGACATTGACTTTGGATTGCCTTGGAGTTGGGTTGGGGCAACCCACATCGTCGTAGCAATTTCGCATGCTTGTGAGACGAACAACTGACTTCTAGGAAATGGCTCACAACAAGAAGACACCAAGGTCTCCCTCCTCCAAGGCAGCAAAGCACAGTTCAGCAAAGCTATGATGGTCCTCGCGCAACCCGAGGAAGCTCGAGAATGCAACATCATGGGATCTGCTCAGCGTTGTTCACTACACTTCGTTTGGCAGAGCACCTGTGCTGCAAGCGGTTGCATGAAGTGAGCCATTTGGAACGTGATGGAACATGACTTGGGTGCGCTTGGGATGGCAGTGTCCATGGTCGGTCTGCGCTGCGGCCCGATTCTTTGTCTTCAATGAAATCCTGACTAGCGATGACAAGTGCCCGGCCTTCAGCAAAGCGAAAAACGACATCTTTGTGACATTTGTGGAAATCACCAGGGCCAGGAATGATATGGACGAATTGGTGCATTGCGAGTTCAACTGTGGTAACATGACCGCGCGACGGCTAAGCCAAAGAGTCGGCACAAACGCTGAGACAGTCTGTGATGCTTGGGCCGCGGCAGCATGTACGAACTTGACGCTGCCGTCCTGGGATTGCTTGCACGGACTCCTTTCCGAGGCATCTCGTTGGCCTCTTCTGTGGCCTGTGGCTCCCATTCAAGCTCACGGCGATTGGTCTTTCGGAAGCGCGTGGCATCTTGCCATGCATTTCTCCAGGCACGCCAGGAAAGCTCAAGCATCGTGTCTTGCTGCCTCTTCCATGAAAGCTGATGCCCAACTAGAAACCGGTCCACCACGTTGCGCCTTCGTTGGTGTGTCTTGTCGACTTGCATAGCCGAAAAAACTCCACGCCCATGACGACGGCAAAGATGCGTTTGCTCAGAGATTGCACAACTTCCCGACAAATGGCGAAAGGCCTGGCGCTACCACACTTGTTGAAGTGAACAGCTTCTGCAAGGGCAGGTAGGGGCAAGTGCGAGAGCTTATGTGAGCCTTCATAAAATCTGCCCACCCGAACAATCAGACAACATTGGACTCGCTTTCTCCCTGCCTCGTGCAAGCCCCGTCGCCTCAGTGAGAGACCGGGACGTGGCATGCTATGTCAGCTGCCATGCCCTTTTACGTTCTGATACTCTGATACCAAGCTGCTGCGTATGCAGCAATGAGGAGCGCAAAACGAAGCACCCTTGATGCACACGCAGCATCAAAGTCTTGCTCCATCTTGCCCAAGCCTTATGGCAGATGTCTGCAAAATGTGCTCACATCGCCTCAAGTACACTGAGCTCATTCTGCCGACATACCAGGTGACGAGCTGGTGTTCGCATTAGAACTGCCGAGCAGCTGAGAACGGCAAAGCTAACATCACCTTGTCGAGACCTTGGTGGCTGCGTGGCGGCCAGCAGGCCTTCCGATTTGTTTTTGCTCCGTGTCCAGCAGGGGGGGGGGGGGTGCCAAAAGCCCGTGCTGGTAACGTCATCCCGCCTGCACTGCATAATAACCTCTAGGGCCCTCACCCTACGAGCACGAAGGGACACGTGACAAACTGCTAGGGCCCTTACCAAACCCTAGCACGAAGGGAGGGACATACGACAAACTGTTTAAACCTTTAGGGGCTGTTTTTCGCAGAGCAAGAAGAGTTGGATAAACAACCCTGCTTGCTCTGCGAAAAGGCTCTATACAAGCGCAACTTGAGATCGGGGCCACGAAAGCTAGAAACGCGGCTGACAAGCAAGGTTTTTTCGAGTCAGGCAGGAGAACTGCGGTCGCAGCAACAACGCTGCAAACTCTGAACTGTAAGCAAAACGAAACATGATGGGACACGCAGCGGTCATCAGCGGTCGCACTAAGAGCTGTCGGAAGCTGCGGATTCGAATGCTCATCCCGGGGCCTTACAGCTCGACAGCAGGGCCTGACCAAGACGGAGGGAGGGGGGAAGCCTGAAAAGGGGGGGGGGGGCCAAAGGGGGAGGGGGGGGCCCCCCCCCCTCCCCAGAAATCAATTAAGGCGGGGGGGGGGGGGGGGGGGACACCTTAAGATTGATTTTGTCAATCCTACAAGGGGGGGGAGGGGGGCCCCCCCCCCCTCCACAGCCCTTTATCTCTTTGATTTTCATACCACTTAAGGGCCGGAGTCGCTTCTTGACCCAGCTGAACACTAGAGAGAATTCTTGTAAACGACAACTCTCGCGAGCTCCAAGGAGCTAGCTTTCGTGAAAAACATGCCATGTCCCATGTTGTCCCTAACGTTTGCGCTTCTCAGAACTCTGCAGAAGTAAAAACATATCCCATGCAGGTTGGTCGAATGTCCCCTCCCTTCGTGCTGGTAGGGCGCCATCGTAAGCACCTAGGACCCCATCGTAAGCAACTAGGACCCCTTCTGCGCCCTGATGACCAAATAGCTCGCAGGGGAAACATCCATGGTGTTTTGACACGTTAAGACGCAAGTTTTCAGGGCTGGTCGCAGGCGCATATTTCGAACCTTTTTCTTATGGAGCCACGATTTCTTTTCCAGCACAGGGATAAACATGTCAATGAAACTAAACCACCTCTTGTAGGGAACGTGTTTTACTGGTCGCAGGGGCACATTCACAACCTGTACAAAGCCACGATGATCTGCGCCCCCATGACCAAACAGTTCGCGCCAGAGCCCCCCCCTCTCTCCCATACAATGGCCAACTTGCAAGGAGAAGTTTGCCACGCGAGGCTCCGAGGCATGACGATTCTTACTTCTTTGCAAACCTTTGCATTTCCCAAATATGCCCGGAAACCAATCCGGCGCGCTTTCTCGATGTTCTCCATGGTCGCGCTTGTGTCTTTGATTGCCAAAAAGTTTTTTTAAAAAAAGAAAAAGTGGGGGTCCGCGCAGGTCCGCGCCCATTATTTTGCTTACGATATGACCAAACTTCTAGGCCCTCACCAAACCCTACGCTACGAGCACAAAGGGAGGGGACATACGACAAACCTCTAAGGGATATGTTTGTACTTCTACAGCGTTCTGAATCCCAAAGCTTGGGTGCTACTTGAGTACGCTCGGCCCCAAAAGGCAGGATGCTAGTTGAACACGCTCGGTTTCCATGAAGCAACTAGCACTCCATCATCATCAGCGCCCTGATGACCAAAGTAGCTCGCGCCATGGAGAGCTATTTGGTCGCAGGGGAAACATCTATGGTGTCTTAACACGTTAAGACACGTTGTCAGGGCTAGTGTTGCGCCCAAAGGCCTGTGCTGGTAGTGTAATCGTGCCCCTATAGACCGCCTGTATTTTCAAACGGTTCCAAAGCCCATGCTGGCAACGTAATCGTGGCCCCCTAAACCGCCTGCACTTTAAAACGATTACAGTAACCTCTAGGGCCCTCACCGAGCACGAAGGGACAAGCGACAAACTTCTAGGGCCCTCACCAAACCCTAGCACGAAGGGAGGGGGCGAGGGATATGCCCTTACTTCCGAAGTGTTCTGAAAGTGCGAATGTTAGGAACACATAGGATGTTTTTGCGCTTGTACACCCTATGGAGCCACGATTACGTTACCAGCACAGCAGGGATAAACATCTCTGTTTACTTAAACCACCTTTGTTTAGGGACTGTGAAACCTGTTCGCAGAGCAAGAAGAGTTGAGTACAAACCCTGCTTCCTCTGCGAGATAGTCCTATACAAGCGCAGAAACACCCTATGATGTTTTTCCCAGCGTTTTCCCTTTCAGAACTCTGCCAAAGAAAAAGTGTATCCCTTAGAGGCTTGTCGTATGTCCCCTCCCTTCGTGCTCGTAGGGTCTGGCAGAAGTTTGTCGCATGTCCCCGCCCTTCGGTAGGGTGAGGGCCCTAGAGGTTAGGCCTGAAAGCCCTAGAACCAGCCTAGAACCATAACGTGCTTGAAGGGCCCAGCGTGCGAGGTTTGAAGGTTTCAGAGAGGCGTCTTGGTTGGTCCTTGTGTGTTCCACTAGCATCCTGCTTTTTGTACCCAAATAGCACCCAAGTTTTGGGGACAGAGCGTGTTCAACTAGTATCCCAGAACACTGTAGAAGTAAAAAACATATCCCTTAGAGGTTTGTCGTATGTCCCCTCCCTTTGTGCTCGTAGGGTTTGAGGGCCGTAGAGGTTTGTCGCATGTCCCCTTCCATCGCGCTCGTAGGGTGACATCGTAAGCAGGCAATACTGCAATTGAAAAGACGTTTAGTAATGATGGTAGTGTTGATTATCCTATTCGCAACAGAAATAGCAATAGTTCAATAGTACGACACTACAATCCTACAAGAACCCGCGCCAACTCGTGCAACTCAAGGCGGCGCAAGACAAACAGGCCAACTCCTACATTGATGGAACCATGCGCCCCGAACAATATGAGAGCCCGCAGGCGCGGAGGAATTGCGAATGGCACTATAACATCATCGATAGGTCGGCAGTGGGAGATAAGCATCGCAAACCCAGAAAGCAATGGTAAACAACGAAATTATTTTACTTCGAACATCCCCACCTTGCTCCTCGTTAAAAAGAAGAGCGCAAATAAGATGTTCAAACCGCTTTCTTAGTTTTTGCTTGCAATTGGGGTTGGGCACTCCAGGGTTGGGCACTCCAGGGAGTTGGGCACTCCAGGGAGTTGGGCACTCCAGGGAGTTGGGCACTCCAGGGAGTTGGGCACTCCAGGCAAACTTGGGGTTGGGCACTCCAGGGAGACTCTGGGATTGGGCACTCCAGGAGTTCCGGGCGAGGAGAAGAGTTGAGTTTAACATCTAACAACCCCACACCGAAGGTGGGGAACAAAGCAGTAGCAATAGGAGTTGCCGCCGCAGCTTACAGAACCTGGAGGTTGGAGGGGGGGGAGGGAGAAGGCGGGGTGGGGGGGGGCACAATGCTCGTATGGGGTGTGTGTCTTTGTTCGTTGTTGTTTTCTGTTGTTTTCTTCTCCATCTACCTTTGTTATTCCCTTCCTTATTTTCACTTTACTTCCTTCAATTCTTGGCCGTTGGAACAAAGAGATTAGCAAGAAGACGATAAGCCGAAAAAGGGTTCTTGAAAGTATTTAGTATTATTTACTTCGATCATACCCATCGAAGGCATCCTGCCGCTTTCGGACAGGTAGTTGAGGACACGTCGCGACTCTCCGCGGAATTCTACTCAAGTTGTTCGGCTGGACTCTCGCGGGATTCTCTGGGCGTACTTCAAGGATACTCCGCGAGCATCTCTAGGAGGAGTCGGCAGGAAACAGCAGGACAATCTGCAGGCTTCTGGGCTTCTCTGGCGTTGGACACTCCAGGATACTGGGCGGGAGTGTTTGCCGGGCTGTGGGGGTAGGCTCTGCGGGCTTCTTCAGGATGGGTGTAGGCACTCCGGATACGTGGCCGGACTCTTCAGGAGAGTGGGACAGCAGAATGGTTGACTGAAGATCTTGCCGTGAGGGTAAAAGAGGAAGCCGCCCTCGAGATCCTGGAGAATACCTAGCTACTAGAACACCATGACCACCCCAGAAATCGAATAAACAACCTGTCACGAATTGCTGTTCCAAGACGCAGCGCGCAGCAAGTGCATGACAAGAGTTGTCGTGCTTCTTCTGATAGGACCAGAGTGACCAGTGAGCGCAGCAACGCCAAATGATGAACAAAGAATTGCCTCGACAATTGCAAGGTTGTGACGCGAGACATGTCTGCTTAAAAACTGCCTCGCTTCGTTAATCCCTACACCTCTGCTTGGTGGCCAGGTCGCTCATGACACGGGCATAGCGGCACACTACCGACCCTCACCAGGTGCTGACTGTTTTTTTCCTGGAACCCAACTTGCAACTTTGGCTTGTTCATGCTTTTTCTTTTGGCACGCCAGCGACGAGTCACCACACGGGCACATTCTGCGACCAAGGCCGGAACTGCACACGGCAAAAAAAGCAAACAAAACGCGCTTAGGGTGAATTCTTGGAGAAATAAACGAAAAAATAAAAAAAGAGAAATATCTGGGCACCTGCGAAGATTAAAGAGCTGCTCCTCGAGGTCGTTAGTTCCGTTAGTTGGATTTCGGAGGCTGAATCGCTATATGCCGCTGGTTGACCAAAACCGCCCCAGCCCATTTACACTGTAATGACTATGATGTGTCAAGGTCACTTGACTCACCGGTCAGTGCGTCTTTCTTTGTTCCGAAGACAACCCCCCACCTGCGAAACACCCCCGGTAAACCTCCAGTGCAGCAACAACACTGGCCGTCCGGTCGAGCGGCCTACACTGTCACCCTCAAGTCTCTCTCTGATTCTCTCGCGCTCTCTCTTTCTGCGTTTTGTCTCTGACTCGCTCTCTCTCACTCTCTCTATCACGTAGGTGGTTCATGCGGACCCACACTGCGCAAGGCGAGTCACGAAGCAGCAGCAAGCAAAGACAAGCGCCAGCAGATGCCAGTCTTGCCAGGCATGGCCTCTCAGGAAGCGTGTCGGATGTCCAGCACTGCCCAGCTTTTTGCAGTTTGTGTCCCTTTTTGCATACATCAATCCAAACATTGCTTCGTAGATGCCATGAACATTCGCAAAACGTAGATTCGAAGGGTTACCAGGTTAAGGCTTTCATTGAACACCTTGGCAACACCTTGTGTCTCTACATGACATTGACATGCCATCGCAGCAATAAACTATGCCAGCATAGACCCCAACATTGACAGACCAGCCAAGGGGTCATGAATTGACGACTTTCATGGCACTGGAGCTCTACTGCACCTCCAGACATCCTCCGCGTACTATCTTTGTACTACAACAGTCTACTTTCGAGCAACCGAACGTCATCGGCGCACTACGTTCTTACTACAACCGAGCCACCTACAGTGGCCGGATCAAGAAATCCAGGAAGCTTCACAATGTAGGGAAACGACGCCAACCCCTGTTTCTGAGGGTGGCGCGAACAAAAAAACCTCCTGGAGAGCAAGAGCGGCCCGCCAACGCCTACTTCTGAGGGCGGCGCAAAACTGCAGAGCCACCAGAGCTCCGGATACACCATCCAAGGCTCGGTTTTGGACTTGGCGGGCTCTCCTTCCTTACAATTTGTTATTCTTTCTTTCGCTCTTTCTTTCTTTGTAAAAACTTGTCTTTTCCATTCTTTTCGTTTCTTGCTTGCTTTTCTTTTCGTTGTTTTTTTTTGGTCTCTGGAAAGCCCACAAGCCCCCATAAGTAGGCGGTTTTCTCTCTACATGTGAAATGGCGAACACGGCGAAAAAAGTAGTGGTTTCCTAAAAAGCTTCGAAACAAAAAGGCTCAAAAGAAAAGGGTGCCATGCCACACTATGATCTAGTGTGGCATGTCTTTGCAACGAGACAACGTGTCGGATCACGAGCACAGGAATGGCGACGGGCTTTGGGTCCGGAATCCACGTCTGCGCACGTGGCATCTGACAGGCATCTTGAATTTGGAGCCTGAGTCAAGAAATCTCGACAAGCCTTTGGACAGGTGAAGGCCCCCCCCCCACTGAAGCATGATTTCCAAACAGTGTCACTCATGGCAAAACGCTGCAAGGGTTTATCGCAGCTCAACATGGACTTAACAAGCAGGTTGACTGGCTTGCACTGGCTTCAGCCTTGCGGAAGCTCTGCATTGCCTTGGTAGCTTGAAAAGGCATACTGACGAAAGCTTACTAAGTCGCATATTCAAATAAAACGCCGCTAAGCGACAGCTCCGCAGTTGTAGTGCCGCCACGTGCCTCGATCAAAGTTCAGCCCCAACAGGACCAAGAGTAGAAAGGCGAACCAACATCAGGATCATCAGGTGAGACTTCCGGTGAATTAGGCTTCGCGGCTGCTTGCTATGGAGACTGGCCAGATAAAGAGAACACACCGGTGAATTAGGCTCAGCATGTGGGATGAACGGAGATGAAGGCCTGCCAGCAACAGAACAGCTCCGAAGCCGCTGTGCTTCCAAGGCAGCCAGGCATGGATTGACAGGACACCCGCCAGATGAGAGATTGAACTTTCCGAGGTTCTCCCAGCAGCATTTCCAACCAGGTTCGCCAAGCCGGTCAATCAGGAATCCAGGAGTCCACGAACTGGACACTCCCACAACTAGTCACTTGGATGACTCGCGCCTAGTCACTTTGAGGAGCCATGAGACCCACAGCAGATCTACTGTGAAAACAAGTTTCATCAAGTTTCCCAGCGCAAGCAAGGAGTCGCACTTGTTTGCGTTGTAGAAACATCGGGTGATGTTGAAGACCAAACTAGGAAATATAATACCAGCCCCAGTAGCCGGGCTTTCGGAGGGGTGAGGGCTCTTCAGTTTCATTCTTCACCCGCATATTTGGACGAATAAATTGCAGACTCACACGTGGCTTTTCTGCACTCCCTGGTAGTTGAGGGACATCCACAATGCGAAACTGGGATGTCTCATGTTGACAGAGCCGGAGGCTCTCAAACATCAAGCCTGAGGCCATCACGACAGAGCTCAACTCGACCGACCTGTCAGACAGAGGACTCATCTCACAAGTGCAGTCCATCGCCGATTGAGCTAAGATTCAGAATCTGAGTTTCTCGCCTCCTCTTGGAATCTGAGTCACCCGAGTATTCCTTGAAAGCCAGTCTTAACATTCTCCCTCAGGATTCGGTTTGGGCTGCAAACTCAGAGGTTTCGTCTTTTCGCATCAGAGCTGAGGTGTTGTTGTACAGCCGGGGAAGGAAGGAAGCCATTGGCTCTGCAATGCTCTGCATGAGTACTTGAATGCAGAAGTAACCCGGAAAGCATCCAATATATGCAACAACATGAGTCCTTGAAGCTCATGGAGATGTGTTTAGGAGGGGTCGTTTAAGGGTGCGGACAGAGGCCCCAAAAGGGGGCACGGAAGATGGAGATGGCCTGGAAATACAAACGTATTGAGGCAAATGTGCTCCTGCAGTTAAGGAAGGAAACGCCACAGACTGACTGACGGATTGCACTTCGTGAGGCCAAGCTCATAAACTTCTGAGGATGGCGCGAACAATTAGACCACTCCACCATGAGAACCCATCTGCTTTGAGCATCTGTTTAACCATTTTAAACCGTGGAAAATCCGAAAGCGAAGTCCTTTTCTCCTGTAACGGAAAAGGACTTGAAGCATTTCACCAGCATGAAAATGAAACCATCAAACTGATCCTGTCCCCCTTTGGAAAACCCCTTAAGCCATGGTTAAACCTATGAACCAGAATGAAAAGGATTGGTTTCAGGGTTTAAGGATGGCTTTTTTCAGGGGGGAAGGATTGTTAATCCAGTTGTTCAGTAGTTGAAGGGCTTAAGGGTTTAGTACAAAACCAAGGGAACCGATACAGGCGGTGGTGACTCTTCCTGATGCATCGAATCAGAAGGTGTCAAGACTAATTAAGGCTTACTAATTCAGGGGTTCCAACGTCAGGAAAAAGATGTTTGCCGCTTAATTCTGGTGGAGGGGGTGCCAGGCTGCCAGAATTTGGGGCGGGTGAGGGGGCGAGGAACAGTTAAGGCAAAGCATACGAGTCAGATGGTGACAGTCGTGAGAATACGAGTACGAATCGACCACGCGTTTCATTGTCAAGATGCTGAGCTCTCGAGGAGGGCGATGGATTGGCGTAGCTCACGCACTTGCTCTTCCAATTGCACACGCTCCAATGAGTACACTGTCCTCTCCAGCGACGACACATTTTGAACATGGCGTGCCAAATCATTTTGCCTTGATGGCTCCATTGCCACCTCTAGCTTTCTTGGCAGCTGCAGTTCAGGATGTTGGAACTGAGCATACGCTGCTGCCAAATCCTCATGCTTTAACTGCAGCTCCAGAAAAGCACACCATATCTCGTGCTCATGTGATTCCAAGCCAGTCAGCTTTGCACGGCACTTGGTGTGCTCTGATTCCAGTTCCTGCTTCTGCAAGAATGTTCGCTGAAACTGTGACTCTGCTAGCTCGCTCTTCAGACACGCATCAGCACGGACATCATCCAACACACTTGATTGCGCAGCACTGCCAGCGGCACATGGGCTCTTCTGCCTGCGCAACTTGAATCCCCAGCTCCCACAGATGCATTAGTCATGCATTGCTTAAGGAAAAGCACAAATCGCCTTTGGAAGGCGCTGAGCTCCCAGCTGAACAATTTCGGAGCCATTCCCGTTCATTCTCGCGGTTTGGCGCTGGTCGGTGATCTGTTCCTGCCACCAATTTCCAGCAGCAACACACACCACTAGGAGCGGTTGACACATCTGAGAACTGTGCACCCTGGCTCAAGGCGTGCCTCTTGCATCCGCGCAGCTTCAGCTTCTTCACGCGCTTTGGCATGTTCCGCCTTCAAGCTGTTCACCTCATGACGACATCGCTCCAGCTCATTCTGTTGTATAATCCATTCGGCATCTTTGCCAAGTTGAAGTTCCAACCTAGAGCTGGTCTCTTGCAATGCCTCTGATTGCAACTTCAGCATGGAATTTTGTGACTGGAATTCATCTTGCCACATTTGGCACTCACTCTCCATCTGGTATAACTCCGTCTTCAGCTCTAACACACTCCGCTCATGACTAGATGCTGATGCACGTGAGGCCAGAAGCTGTTGATGGAGTGTTGACTTCTGCGCCTCCAAATGCTGGAAACGTGCCTGCTCTTGCTCTAGAGCGTTTGAAGTACACTGAAGCTCCTCATTTCCAATCTGCACTTCTGCCATGGATGACTGCCAGTTGGCGTTGAGCTCTTCACATTCTCTGATCAATTGGTCCGCTTCTGCTTGCATCAGCTGCTGCTCGCATTTGAACTGAGCAGCTGCGTCCTCGCATGCCATACGGGTCAGTTCTAAGCAACCACATTCATGAAGGAATTGTGCGCTCGCTTCCTCTTGTTGCGCTTTGTGGGACTCCATCTGTTCGCTGTATGATCGCATCGCTTCCGCTTCCTCCGTGGCTGACAACCAGGCCGCAGAGAGCTCTTCACATTCTAAACGCAGGTTTTTGGACTCAACCTGCGTCTGCTGGTGGCAGGCTCTGATCTCAGCCACAGTGCCCTCACAGACTGCATGGGTGTCCTTCAGGCAAGTAACTTCATTGCGTAACGATTCTTCTCGTTCTCGCGCCTCTACCTGCCACTCACTTGCTTCAAGCTTCCCATGTTGGAGCAACGTCAGCTCTCGGCTCATTGATTTCCAGTGCTGCTCCCTCTGTATCCGCGCCATGTCCAGTTGCATAGTGCTCTCCTGTAAAGCCGCGAGCTCCGAGTGGAGTGCCGCATTCTGGGACTCCAACACTCTCCGCCTTGCTTCGGCATTGCTGCCCTCGAACTGCATTTGACGCAACTCGTCTTGCTGCTCACACAAACGCCTCTCATGGCGGGAAGTCGTCTCGCACGACGCCTCAAGCTCTTGCTGGAGCGCCTCCGCTTGCACCTCCAGACGGCGGGCCTGCAATGTCACCGCGGCTCGCTGAGCATCGGCTTTCGCATGGTCTTGCTGAGCAATACAAGAACTCTGCAGGAGTTCTTCTCTGTGCTGGTGCAGTTGCTCGACTTGGGACTCAAGCTTTTTTGCACTCAGCTGCATCGAACCGACGGCTTCTGTTTCGCACAACCACCTTGTGTTCAAATCTTCGCATTCCGATAGTAGCATGCGAGATTCTGCCTGCGTTCGCTGGTGTTTAGTGCTGCTCTTTGCCAGCGTTTCTTCCAAGTCTGCTACCTTCTGGCGAAGCTGCACATTTGCCTCTTCCAACCTCTGCTGTTGTTTGCACATCTCTGCCTGCTGCTCATCGGCGAACGATGTGCTCCGCTGCAGCACTTCCAACTCCAGGGTCACTGAGCGCAGATGGCTTTCGCCCTTGACTCTCTCATCTTCCAGCCGGACTTCTGCCTTTTGCAAATCAACAACTTGTGAGTGCAACGTTGCTTCTTGCAATTCCCACTTTGCTTCGCGGGCCTGGCTCTCTGAGTGCAAATAACACAACTCCTCACTTTCTTCCTGGTTCCGACGCTCATGATGCGAAGCGCAGGCACGTGATCTCGCAACCTCTTGCTGGAGCTTTGCCTCCTCCTCTCCTACTTGCCACTCATGCTGCTGCAGCTTGGCTCTCTGCTCATCTGCTGCCTCTTGCTCCTCACGAAGCTCGCCGAAGTCAAACACAACTCGCGCTCGCTGCTGTTGCAGCTGTTCGATCTGGGACTCCATCTGTTGGCTGTTTGATCGCATCGCTTCCGCTTCCTCCGTGGCTGACAACCAGGCCGCAGAGAGCTTTTCACATTCTAAACGCAGGTTTTTGGACTCAACCTGCGTCTGCTGGTGGCAGGCTCTGATCTCAGCCACAGTGCCCTCACAGACTGCATGGGTGTCCTTCAGGCAAGTAACTTCATTGCGTAACGATTCTTCTCGTTCTCGCGCCTCTACCTGCCACTCACTTGCTTCAAGCTTCCCATGTTGGAGCAACGTCAGCTCTCGGCTCATTGATTTCCAGTGCTGCTCCCTCTGTATCCGCGCCATGTCCAGTTGCATAGTGCTCTCCTGTAAAGCCGCGAGCTCCGAGTGGAGTGCCGCATTCTGGGACTCCAACACTCTCCGCCTTGCTTCGGCATTGCTGCCCTCGAACTGCATTTGACGCAACTCGTCTTGCTGCTCACACAAACGCCTCTCATGGCGGGAAGTCGTCTCGCACGACGCCTCAAGCTCTTGCTGGAGCGCCTCCGCTTGCACCTCCAGACGGCGGGCCTGCAATGTCACCGCGGCTCGCTGAGCATCGGCTTTCGCATGGTCTTGCTGAGCAATACAAGAACTCTGCAGGAGTTCTTCTCTGTGCTGGTGCAGTTGCTCGACTTGGGACTCAAGCTTTTTTGCACTCAGCTGCATCGAACCGACGGCTTCTGTTTCGCACAACCACCTTGTGTTCAAATCTTCGCATTCCGATAGTAGCATGCGAGATTCTGCCTGCGTTCGCTGGTGTTTAGTGCTGCTCTTTGCCAGCGTTTCTTCCAAGTCTGCTACCTTCTGGCGAAGCTGCACATTTGCCTCTTCCAACCTCTGCTGTTGTTTGCACATCTCTGCCTGCTGCTCATCGGCGAACGATGTGCTCCGCTGCAGCACTTCCAACTCCAGGGTCACTGAGCGCAGATGGCTTTCGCCCTTGACTCTCTCATCTTCCAGCCGGACTTCTGCCTTTTGCAAATCAACAACTTGTGAGTGCAACGTTGCTTCTTGCAATTCCCACTTTGCTTCGCGGGCCTGGCTCTCTGAGTGCAAATAACACAACTCCTCACTTTCTTCCTGGTTCCGACGCTCATGATGCGAAGCGCAGGCACGTGATCTCGCAACCTCTTGCTGGAGCTTTGCCTCCTCCTCTCCTACTTGCCACTCATGCTGCTGCAGCTTGGCTCTCTGCTCATCTGCTGCCTCTTGCTCCTCACGAAGCTCGCCGAAGTCAAACACAACTCGCGCTCGCTGCTGTTGCAGCTGTTCGATCTGGGACTCCATCTGTTGGCTGTTTGATCGCATCGCTTCCGCTTCCTCCGTGGCTGACAACCAGGCCGCAGAGAGCTCTTCACATTCTAAACGCAGGTTTTTGGACTCAACCTGCGTCTGCTGGTGGCAGGCTCTGATCTCAGCCACAGTGCCCTCACAGACTGCATGGGTGTCCTTCAGGCAAGTAACTTCATTGCGTAACGATTCTTCTCGTTCTCGCGCCTCTACCTGCCACTCACTTGCTTCAAGCTTCCCATGTTGGAGCAACGTCAGCTCTCGGCTCATTGATTTCCAGTGCTGCTCCCTCTGTATCCGCGCCATGTCCAGTTGCATAGTGCTCTCCTGTAAAGCCGCGAGCTCCGAGTGGAGTGCCGCATTCTGGGACTCCAACACTCTCCGCCTTGCTTCGGCATTGCTGCCCTCGAACTGCATTTGACGCAACTCGTCTTGCTGCTCACACAAACGCCTCTCATGGCGAGAAGTCGTCTCGTTCGATGCCTCAAGCTCTTGCTGGAGCGCCTCCGCCTGGACACAAAATCAACAGGAACATCCTCGCACCCCTCGTTATCCTCGTTTCACGCGTAGGCGCACCAACTGCCGAAACCGATTAAACTCCGGAGATTAGCAAAACACATACACAATTCAACATCCACGTCAATGTCGGATGACCTGAACAAGGGAATGCGCTCATCGGTCTCTGCACTCATCCGTCTCGAGTAGTTCCATGAATCATGCCTTTTCATCCTTTCAGCATCCGAAGAACAAGAACGGGCACGCAAACGGTTCGGATTTCCTTGTTGTTGCATGCTTTTCTCCGTTTGACGGCGGCTGCGGCAGCAGCGGCAAGAGCAAACATTGACTTTTATTGACTTTTGTCTCCACTTGGTTGCCGTCAGCGCGATGGTGTTATTGGGACAAGCCCCGGCAGTGCAGCCACAGAGCTGGCGAACACTTTTTTGCACCATCCAACGCAGTCCCAGTCCTTGGCCCCGTAGGGAAAAAAACAGGACGGCTGCAAACGCCCGGGCAGCGGCCAAAGACATTCAAAAGCTTCGTGTTGAGACACATGGATGTCAGTATTACGGCACGCGACACGGATGCGAGTTCCCAAAGAAGGGGGCCGCATCGTGGTGGTTTGGTGAGCGTGTCGCCATCCTTTTCCGGGCCCGTCTACACTGGCTGTCAGTAGGTCGGACCACTACGAGGCTCGCCGCGGGTGCCGACCCACATGAAAGCAAAGCGGAACTTCCAAGGCATCCGCTTTTCCCGCAGGCTCCGTCGTGGGCAGCTCGACAGCTATAGCCGCGAGATGCCGCGAGCGTGCGATCGCCCGCGCCAGTGCCCGTCGGAACGTACCAGCGTGCCTGCCTGGGCTGAAACGCCTACGACCCCGAGGACCAACCGGCCGCAACTTGCACTCCTTGCCAAACTGGCAAGAATGGTGGCGGGGAGTAGGAGATCAGCCCAAGTGCAGGCCGTAACATCAAAAAAATGAAACTGGCAGGCTGGAGAGAGAGTCCGGCCCAACCCCCCACGGATTTCGGACAGCTCGCTGCTGGTGGAAGTTTTTTTGGCCTGTTTCTGTTGAAAATCACGAACTTCCTGACACTTGTGTTTTTGCGCAGCGAATCTTTTTCAAGGCAACGAAATTCCTGACATTTTGTGTTTCTGTCACAGCTCTGCTTGCAAGCCACGTGACATTTGTCTTTGTGGAAACTCACTGCGCTGGGCAGCGACGGCGAGCAGCCCCGACCAACGGGCGACCCACGCCGCACGCGCTGCCGCTCGCGTGGCCGCCAGAACGTCCGACGCACGTTGCCCGGCAAGCAGCCCGGAGCCAAGTCCGCTCTGCGCCGAACCGACCCCCAACCTCCACACCGACGACCACCAAACGGCAGCGGCGAGCGCGCACAAACTCAGGGTAGGTCTGGCGGCGTTTGCGTCGGGCGGCGCAATCCACAGCCCGACCCGGATGCACGTCAGCTCCAGGCTGGGCGTCGCCCACCCGCGTCACGGGGCTGACGATGGTGGCATCAACAGCTTGCTGCGCACCATGCCACAAGGACAACCCGTTCGCGACGACATATACGACTTCGATGCGGCTGTCATCCGAGACCGGGACATCGATGTTCATGTCAGCCAGGCGAACGTTGCGGGCGACCCTCGACCCGGCTTCATGGCACACCCTCGCCACTGCCCGCTCGAGAGGGAGGGCTCGAGATGCGAGCACACCGGAAGTCGCACACGCAGCCCTGTGGTCGCCGAGGGGGTCCAGGCGACCTCCACAGGCGCACGCGCGCAGTGCGACTGGCAGCGGCAAGCGAAGCCGTCGTAGCAGCAAGACCCGGAAGAGCGGCGATGGCACCGTCAACTCTGCTGAGGAAAGGAAGACGGTGAAGGCACGCGCAGCGTGTGGCCCGGCCTGTGTCAGCAGCAGCGCTCGAGATGCGGCATCAGTGTGAGAAAGATGCATATCAAGTGCGCGCTTGTCACTGGCGAGGGCAGCACGATGCTGCCAGCCTCGCAAAAATTCATAAAAAATTCCCCAAACTCGCGTTCTTCCTGCCCTGGCCGTGCCTGCAGCAGCTCACCCCACGCGGGAGCGTCGTAGTCCTGCTCGCGGAGGCAGGCGGCTGCGTGACGCGCTGCTGTGAGAGGCAGCACGGTCTCGGTGGAGGACTGCCGTGCGCGCACCAAACGCTCGAATGCGCCCAGAAGGCCCAGTAGGCGGCGGGAGCGGCGTCGACGGCCGAGCGCACCCCCAGGCCCCCCAAACCGCAAGGGGAGGTGCACGAGGCGCTTCGTGGGCTGAGGCAGTGCCTGCGTGGGCCGGGAGTCCTGCGACAACAGGGTCGCTAGGCATGTGCACACCGCAGCGTCGTGCTCGCGCGCAAAAGCCTCAGTCGCACCAGGCGGGAGCATCCGAAGCAAGTAGTTTGCACGCGGGGAGGCGCAGAAGAGCAGGAGGAGCCACGCGCACTGCAGGTCCCCAACGGCAGGCAGGCGGGCAAGCAGTTGGTCCTGGGTCTCCCGTTTGCGGTGCAGTTCCGCGTTTTTATTTCAAACAATACCTCTCCCGATACTCATCCCGAGTTTAGACAGCGATGACCGCGCTGGCACGCCAGAGGGGCCTCCCCAATACGTTTCGGGCCTGTTTTTTTTTTTTTTTGCCCTCGGCCTTTTCCGACTGCAACACGGTGCCAGAGCATGCCAGAGCTACGTTGGTCGAACTACTACCACAGCGGCCTGTTTCCAATGTATTCGCTGAGGAGAAGGCACTTTGCACTTTGCACTTTGCCCGTTCGAGTCACGAAGACTACGGTCCTTTCAGGACAAGGGACAACGGTGGGTGTTACGAGCTAATTAATGTGCGAGGCCGTGTCAAACTGTACAAAATCATGTCTTGTTGACGGCCATCTTGGCAGATGAGCTACATCAGACCACGAACTACATCCAGGGAACTGTGACACTACAAACTTGTTCAACTCATCATCCCATCGCTTGGGGGGGCGACCAGGTCGTCGTCTCGGCACACTATTGAAATTGTGCTGGGATGACGGACTCCAGGAGAAGGCGCAAATGGTTTTCGCCAAAACGGGTACCCCCATGCCACAACATACCACCACAATCATGCAATCCGGTTGATTTGAAGGCCCTAGCCACCGAGGGCTTCTGGCAGGTCAAATTGCTCGTCCGCCTCGTCGCAGCACAGTTCCCCAAACGGCTTGGTCGTTCGCGACGGCAGATGCGGCCACATTCGGCGGGGGGATCGTGAGCGGGCGCAAGGCGTAATTTTTTTTTTTTTTTTTTTCTCTCGCGGCGGTCGTGATCCAGGTCCCCACACCCCCCCTATGTACACACGTCTCACCGAAGCGGCAGGCGGCTGGGCCCCGCGAAATCGGCGAGCTCAAGGACATCAGCGAGGGGGACCCCGTCCGGCGAGCCCGGCAGCGCCGGCATCGTCCAGACACCCAGGGCCGTGCTAGCAACTGCCCTCTGCACGGCGACCGAGAGCAGGCCCCACCATCGCCTAGCCCACCCCTGGGCCGCCGTGGCACGCAGGGTTGCAGGGGCCCTCTGAACGCGGAGACGCAGGAGCTGGCGAACGAAGCGCTGGCACTCCTCGCCCCACCTGCCGCCCACCTCCGCCGCGAGCACGACGAGCCGTTGCGGACCTCCCCGCAGTAGCTCGGGATATCGCGCGTGCTTGCGGCGGCGCGCGGCCGCCAACGCGGCCCCGTCTCGCACGTCGGCACCTGGGACTGGGCGACCCGCTCGCGTCAGAGGCGAGACAAGCGTCGCGTCACAACAGAGTGCCTCACCGCCCGGCGTGGCCCCGTACACCACCAAGTCCAAGCGGCGGCGGTCCGCAGGCGCAACGCCAGGTGCCGTGGTCCGGGCCAGCCACTGCTGTGGCACTACTCGGCCCTCCGCCCCGACCGCCTCGCGCGCGACCTGCACCCACGCGCGCTCAAGGACAAAGCCTCGGCGCGGCAGCAAGCCAGTACGCGGGCAGGCGACGAAGTGGTCACCTAACGCATCGGCCTGTCCATGGCAGCCGGGAGCTCCGTCGCCTCCACAATGCAGGGCGGTCAATGGTAGCGGCAGGCGGAGGCGTCGCCTGAGGGCAATGTGCATCAAGTCTGGGGCCAGGGTCGCAGCTGCGTCAGCCGGTATGGCGGCGAGCCACATGCCCGCATGTTGCCCAGACTGAGAGCGAAAGAGGGCTCGCGCATCGGGCGCCATGGCCGGGAGCAGTTCGCGTTCTCGGAAGGACGTGTGGAGTGCGAGAACAGCGCGTCGCTGCCAGCCAGGGCCACCGAGCCCGAGCTCACCGTCTGTAGCCGGGACCTGGGCCCCGTCGGCACATGCCGCCCAGTGAGGCCGCTCCTCCCAACCAGCCGCGTCTAAGCGCTCCGTAGCCGCCGCCGCTGCCCGCACGCAGGGCGGTGCGGCGACTGCATCGCCTTCGAGCGCGCGCACGAGTTGCTGGGCGACGTCGGGGAAGCGTTGGCGCAAAACTGGGAGGGCATCAGCCCAAGCCGCCCAGTATGCAGCCGGCGCAACCCGCTCTGCAGCCAACAAGCCCAGGCCCCCCAAGCTGGGCGGCAGGAAGGCGCCGAGGCGCGCTGCAGTCCACGCAGCCTCCTCACCCGGGCCTTCCCCACCAAGAAGGCGTAATTCGCTCGCGGGGAAACACCAAAAAAAAAAACACAGGGCGAGCAGGAACCGTGCGCAGTGCAAGTCAGCTCTCAGCTCCGTGTGACCATGCGCGATCATGCGCGCAGTTGGGATCGCATTGGGCTGCATCTCGAGCGCTGCTGTCGTCCCGAAGCAGTGAAACAAATCATATGTGTGTATACAGAATGGGCCATGTCAGCAGCATGCGTCCTGGTACAAAAAAATACAAAAAATAAATAAGCACAAATCAATACGAAAAAACATCACGAAGAGCACATGGGCAATCGTAGATGAACGCGTATGGGGCAAAAACGAGCCGCCAGAGGCTGTCGTAATCCCAGTCGCAGCTAGGAGTTGGCAAGCGTTGCACCCACATGCGCCTCCAGGGCGAAAAAAGAGGGCACGTGCGCAAGGCATGAAGTAGGCTCCCAGTCATCGCACCCGCACCGGCATGGATGGATGATTGAGGCCACGGTGGCGGGCAGCACGGCCATCCAAGAAGGGATGGTGGCCACACCTGGTCAATGTCCATTCCCTGACCGCCGAGGATGGCAGCCGAGAAGCATGGACGTTTCGTGAAAAATCCTAGTCAGGATGACACTGGATGAAGGTGGCCTGTGATGCAAGTTCACATGCCTCAGCCTGGCGTGCGCGCCAACCGACGCTGTCGAGGCTGGCGTACACAACGATGCCTCCCACGCTGCAAAACGCGGAGGTTGCTACCGGACCCGAGCCAAATTCATGAGGCAACGTCACGCCTGCCGAGCTCAAGGCTCGAGAAGCTCCAGCTGCCCAAGAATTTGGCACGCCAACAGCGTAGCGAACGACCACGGTGCGCGCCAACAAGGGGTGGCCGAACAAAGGCCGGCGACCAAACAAACTGGCTTGCCCACGCAGGACTTGCACCGCGAATGGGTCCCAACCGAGTTCACCCAAAACGGTTGCATTCGGTGCGCCTGCTGGCCAACACAGCAAGCGCCGCCCCAGCTGGCGCATATGCTTATCCAAGCGCCGTACAGACGTGTCACAGCACCACGGGTCATTGAAGGCAACACATATGACTGAAATAGGTTTCGGCGAAAACTCGTGTGCAAACCACGGCTTTCTGCCCAGGCAGTGCATTGGTGGAATTTGCGGGTGCTTTTTATGATCAACCTGTCGGTTTGTTTGTTCCACCTTTTGGAGGCCTGGAAAATGACACCAAAGTAGCGATACTCAGTCAGGGACGACAGGGACACCGAGCCTTGAAACACGAACCGAAAGTCACGGGACCTACAGCCGACAGCAAGAACAGCTCTCTTATTAGGGCCTATGCCAAAGGAAAAACGCCAACGGGCTCCCCAAGCACCAATGGCGTCAAGTGCACGTGGCCACTTTCCGAATCGGCCAAAACAACTACATCATCAGCGTATAACAATAAAGTTACACGCGGCGCACGAGGACCGCGACCCAAAGGGACACCAGGACAAGCTGCACGAACGGCGGCCGAAATACCATCAAAAAGGATGTTAAACAGAAGGGGGGCCAAGCACGCTGCCTCGGCGGACGCCGGCCCAGACAACGTGCCATTAACCAGTACTTTCGCACTGGCTGCACCCAGAAGGTCATCCAAAACCCGCCACGTGGAGCCTGTGACACCGATAGCAGCGTGGAGCCTGTGACACCGATAGCAGCAAGCTGGACACGGACGGCATCTCTCCATGTTACATCGAACGCTTTGCGCACATCAACAAAAGCACAAAAGGTGCGTTTGCGGGGTCGGAGACGCAGCGTTTCGACGAGGGTATAGATTTGTTCCTTGCCCCCCCACCTGAAGCCAGCTTGACTCTCATCAATGCGCGGGTTCACATGCGGGAAGAGACGCTTGAGGAGCAGCCTTTCGATTCAAAGATCTTGAAGCCGCAGCAGAGCAGGCTGATGGGCCGGTAATTGCTGAACTCATCTTCAGCGCCAGTTTTGTGCAGCGGCGTGACAACCGCAGAGCGCCATACTGACGGCACCACCGCCCAACAGTGCACAAGCTCAAAGAAAGAAAAGGAATGCGTTGCGCATAGTACCATCGTCAATCCGATAGAGTTCGTACGTAAGGCCGTCCGGGCCAGGGGCACGGTTTGCAGGCAGCTGTTGCAATCGAAGCGACTGGGAGTGGCATACATTTCACGACGCAAACGACGGACATCTGACTCCAGGTCAGGCGCGCCTGCAGAAACGGAGCCCGCGGAGACAGGCACGTCTCGAAAATGGCAATGCCAAGCATCAATACATGCTGCACCCTCAACAGTGCCACCATGTGGAGAGGATGAACGCATGTTAGCAGGTAGCGGGCGCCGAGCGCCGAGAGTGCCCAAACTGCCGACGAATATTACGTGCTGCAAGCTGAGGGCATGCAGCTGAGGCAAGTTCTTGTGCCTGAAGCCAACTATGCCAATACAAGGCTTTCTTTTTGCGAACCAAATGATGGAACGCACGACGCATGGAGCGGAATGCATCATGCGCTTGAGCCGTGCCTTCCCGGCACCACGAACGCCAAGCAACATTCCTGCGAACCATCACAGCACAGCACTCGTCGTCCCACCAAGCAGGCCGGGGCCGATGACGGGAAGCACGAGCCGTCTCGGGGCGAGCCGCGCCCCAAAACATGTGGACAAACCCTGTAACCAGTTGCGAACACGCGGCCAGCGGGGAGAGGCAGTGTCCTCAGTGGGCGACGGCAATAAGGTCTGAAAAGTGATGAGCTTGTGATCACTACCTGAAGCCGGGCAACAAGTATTGGGTGAACATGCACAAGTGGAGCCGTCGTGCACAACCAGGTTACGAATAGGCAAATCCCGCGATGCAAGCACGAGATCAATGGAAGAGCCGGACCGATGCGTAGGAACGCCAAAGGGGTTATAAATCCCAAGGCCGAAGTCTTGGCATAAGCCACGAATCTGCGACTCTCCAGGCCCTTCACGGCCGCAGCCCATGACTTCAGACAGATACACGTTCGAATCGCCAGCCAAAACCAGGCGTGCACGGGGGTGGGAATGAAGCACTTCTTGACTGGAAGCTCGCAACAGTGTCCAGAAATGAACACGCTCGAGCAAAGGCATGCCCACATGCGGCGCATAAAAAACGCAGGTCAGGCTGTCAACACCGCCTGGCGCCACATATCTCCAACGGAAGCGAGTGCAACTGGCCAGCCTCATGCCTGGGCGGTGACGGGGCAAGGAGGCGGACGACTTGCTGCGCCAAAACGTGCTGGAGCGTCGCCTAAACTGCCCGATCGTGTTCCGCTGCGTACGCGGCCGAGTCCAGGGCGCACCGTGCGTGGCACAGTAGAGCAAGAGCAGCCACGCGCTTGGCATATCAGGCAATTCTGCTAGTTATCGCAGCAGGCGGAACTCTCCATCGAGTCTTGCCATCAAAGTGTGTTGTATGAACTCCGCGTGACCCACATTGGCACAAGCCAAAAGCAACCAAGCCGCAAGACGCATGTGCTCGGCCGTGCGTGCGACATCGTCAAGCGCAGGCGGGGCGCGAGCTGGAATGGTGACGAAATACAGGTCGTCCAGAAAAGCGGCGAGGTACACTCCAATCGTCCGTGCACCGCAGCCAGGGCGTCGTGTTGCGCCAGGGAGTACAGAGTCAGCTGCCGATGAAGCCATTTTGGTTGCCGTGGCGCCTGCGAGCGTGCCGGAGCATCGCCCCGGAGAAGTCGCACCCACACTCGCGGAAGCAACCACGCCGGGGTTTATGCCTCCAGACTCCCCCCCCACTTCCTGTCACGGTGCCAGGTGGACCCCGCAGATCGCGGATGCTCGTGGCTCGGTATGCCGCCGACGGCGTGATGCCACCACATACTGGTATCCCGCAGCTCGTCCACCGCGTTCATGCCATCCCAGGTTGTGACTCTCCGCGACGCGCTGGGCTTGTGCACGGACGATGCTGGCTACGCCCCAGCAGCCGCCTTCGGAGGCGCACGCACCTCACGTGCACGGCGCACGCGCTAGCCCAATCGCTGCGCGAAGCATGGGCGTTTGCGCCCTTGCCGCCGCCCGCTGTTTCCGGGTCCGGTCGCCGCAGTCGCGGCCGGGGTCGGGGGCGAGGCCGACGCGCAACGGCGCCCGCCACCGCGTGGTCACAGGTGACAGAGGGAGCTGCCGAGCACGCTGTGATAGCCAGCCCGGACGAACGCCCGCGTGCGAGCGCAGGACGCGGTCGAACTGCGGGCAGAGCTGCTGCGCCCGGTGCCTACTGTGCGGGACGTCCCGGCATTTATGCGAGATGCCCTCCGCGCCATCCAGTTTGCCGGCGACCGCGGGTTCGCCGGAAACTGTCCCGAAGCTTCACGACCCTGGAAGCTGTTCATGCTTGTGCCACGCATGTTGATGGCGCGATGCGAACAACGAGGCCGCGTCGAAACGCAACAGCGATGACCCTCTGCGTGGTATTGGCGTGTCGCGATCGCACGAACGACAACCCTCTGCGTGTTTTGGCATTGTCGAAACGCAAAAGCGATGATCCTCCACGCGGGCGCGGCGTGTCGCGATGGCACGAACGACAACCCTCTGCGTGTTTTGGCGTTGTCGAAACGCAAAAGCGATGATCCTCCACGCGGGCGCGGCGTGTCGCGATGGCACGAACGACAACCCTCTGCGTGTTTTGGCGTTGTCGAAACGCAAAAGCGATGATCCTCCGCGTGGGCGCGGCGTGTCGTGATCGCACGATCGACAACCCTCTGCGTGTTTTGGCGATGTCGAATCGCAGCAGCCATGACCCTCTGCGTGGTCTTGGCGTGTCGCGATCGCACGAAGGACAACCCTCTGCGTGTTTTGGCGTTGTCGAAACGCAAAAACGATGACCCTCTGCGTCTGCGTGTTTTGGCGTTGTCGAAATGCAAAAATGAGGACCTTGCTTGCGCGTTTGACAACCCTCTGCGTGTTTTCGCGTTGTCGAAACGCAATAACTGCGTGTTTTTGCTTTGTCGAGACGCAAGCACGACGACCCCCTGGTTCTTCGTTGTATCGTTGATGTGTGGATGGATGTCGTGATGGATGTCGTTATGATGGATGGCGGGCGGTTTTCGTGAAAGCTCTTCGTTATCGTTGATGCATGGATGGCTGTCATGATTGATGCCGTGATGGATGGCGGGCGGTCTTCTTGAAGGTTCTTCGTTATCGTTGATGCATGGATGTCGTGATGGATGGCGGGTGGTCATCGTGAGGGGTCATCGTTAGATCTCGCAATGGATGTCGCGATGATGCAAGGATGGATGGCGTGATGCGAGGTTTTAATTGTTGCTTGAAAATGCTTTCCGGACAACCGTTCTCTGGTTTTGTTTTTCTTCTCGCGCCTTTTTCCGCTGATCAAGGTGGCCCCAGCGCAGCGCAAAGGCAGGGCGGGCAATCGGGGGAGGGAGGGTGGAGTGGACAAGGACCTCGCTGAGGAGCGAGTCCCCATCAACGTTGGCCGTGCCGGGAGCAACGTCACGCGTACCTCCTCGCCACACGTCGTCGCCCAGCTGGCAGAGAATCGATTCGGGATGCCCAGCACGACGATCTGCAACGGCGGAAACCCCAATCCGCAGGAGCACGGCGAGGCACGCAGCAATGCAGGCATCATGGTCGGCGGCATATTGGGCGGTGAGAGCTGGGGGGCACCTTGCGCAGCAGGGTAATTCGCCCACGGTACGGCGCAGTACTGCAACAGAAGCGGCGGGTAAGGTCCGGGTCGCGCAATCACGGACGACCGCGTGCGCAGCGTTGCGCTGGGGGTCTGATTTTTTTGCGCACCTCTTTCGTCCGCAGGAGTGGGTAGGTCCCGAGAGACAAAACCCTGAAGGACTAAAACCCTCGGCTGCTTCACGCCGCCATCAGCGCAGCGGCAGCCGGCTGGGCCCCGCCGCTTCCGCCGGACCTGGTCCAGGTCGGAGCCAACCTGCTGGCTTGGGTGGGGCGGCTGGCCAAGGCAGCCCGAAGCCGCGCTGGCGACGGCTTGTTGGACCGACACGCGAGCTGGCCCCAACCAGCGCCGAGCCACACGCCAAAGCAGCCGCTTGTCGCAACGCGAATGGCGCGCGCTGTGCCCGGATCCGGACAAGCTCGCGCACGAGTTATAACCGGATGCCACAAACCATGTTGAATTCCGGCACGGTGGAGACGCCACATAGCACCATCTTGCCGTACAATATCAAAGACTTTCAGTATCTAAGATAGCACAATAGGTACGGGCGCGTTCACGCGAAAGTAAAGTTTCAAGGAGATCATCAAGGAGTCGATACGTTTTGATATCAGAACGCTGTGGGCCTCGTCCGGGCGCGCGCAGGAGGATGCTTACGCGGACCACGCCCTGACACGCCCGCGAACGGCCTCGTTGATGGGGGCTTGGCTTGGACCTTGTGATCTACACGGCGCGGCACCCGGACGGGCTTGCCGCTGCCCGGTGCTGCTATGGCTATGACTGACAGCGCTGTCCTGCGGGCGGGGGACGGTAGAGCGTGCTTGCAATGATGTGTTGCTGTTGATGTATGCTGATAATGTTGTGATTTTCTGCGAAAACCCTGATGTGGACTTGCAAAAACCTTTGGACGTAGCTACTGCTTGGGCAAGTTCCTGGCGCTTCAATTTGCTGTGGGCATTCAAAAAGGGGCCATCATGTGCTTCCCAGGCACCGTGATTGTGAAAACTTGGCATCACCTGATTGCTTGGACGTTTGTGCGGCCCATGCAGCTTCAGGGGGCTTGCGTGCTACATCTTGCCGCAGCGCACGCCGGCGATCGCGTTGTTCCAGCAATGTTTCCGTGGCTCAATGCAGCGTGCCCGCCGACATTGCCCTTGTCATGAAGCGCGCGTCCATCCCGCCATCGTTGGATGTCAATGCCACGACGCGTGGCACACTGCATGGCATCTGGTTGCAGATACATATTACAAACTATTGTTTTTGCGCTCGCTGCCCAGCCAAAGTTGTCCTCGCAACTCCGCCACTGGTGAAAACGCCGCGCCGGGCCGTCGTGTTTGTTGGCACTATGGGGCGACCCGTTGAGGGGGGACACTCTGCTGCGACGCCGCACTTGCGCCTGTGCTTCGGGTTCAATGATTGAGCTCAGGCGAACCCACTCAAACAATACCTCCCCTTCCGCTTTATTGTTCCATAGCATGCTACATATGCTACTAGCAGTTACTTTCCTGCAAGCCTGTTCTGGTTAGAAGGGGGGGCAGAGCCGCTTTCTGAAACCAGCTTCAGAACCTTCTACAACAGGCCTCATTACGCAGATCTGAACCCAGACAGGAAGTTGGCTTTAAGGAATTGCCGTTCGCGGACAGCTGTTTTTACGATTACATGATAGCCCACCTCCGCGGCCCTCGCAGATCCCACAGACCGCGATGGTCGCAATGCTTTTAACTGATCGAATGCTCGGCGAAGGCGGTGCCTAAAAACACAGCAAGAACTGATGAAATAAGCTTACGCTAAGCAGGGTTGACGACTGTGCATCAAGCTAGATCCATGCTTGATTCCACTACCCGAATCCAAAACCACCGCTCACGAAAAGTGCGCAAGGAAACCCATGTTGCATGCAGACGAATGACTCCATCGCACAAGAAGATCTGCAACGAAAATTGTCCTGGAGGCGCAGCGCTAGTGCAGTTGCTCCCATTCCTTTCTTCACAGTCCGCGCTGCAGCCTCCCGCCGGCGCGCAAACATCTGACGATTGGAAATCACAGTGGAAGCTGCCCAATGTAAAACATCGCATATGTATGGCACGATTTCATCTCGCGGCCAGGGTGGCCCTGGGGCCACATCAGTGCTGCCAGTGCTCCACAAATCATGTCCCTGAGCTAAGCGGAGGATGTCAATGTCTTTGCACCCAAGGCCATCGATGCCATCGTCGAGCAACCGGAAAGGATGACAGTATGACATGATGTCTGCAAGCCGCTCAATCGACCGCAAAAGATAGAGGACATAACTCCAAGCATGACTTTGGCTAGGGCTGGCACCATGTGTAATGCTCGACGTAGCGAGAAACAGCGGAGGGTGAGATATCGGCTCCATGTGGCTTCCATCAACTGCCAGTCACCAGCCATGTGTCTGATCGCAGCTTCTCCGCCCATGTGAGTCAGCGCACACCGCCATTGCCACCAAGACCATATCCTATGGAATGTTGTTCTGAAAGGCTTTGAGAACGTTCTTCACACCGCTCAGAACCGTAAGGCCCCACAGTAGTCTTGATCTTTCGTGAACTGAAAGTTAGAATGCAAGAGACACTGTGCTTGCCACATTACCGCTAACGAGGGACCTGATGGTGGCTATAGCCATCGTGAGCTTTTTGTTTGCAACATGTCCGGAGCTGCAGGCGAATGTGCGTGATGTTGTTATCTTTTTGGGTGTGGCATTTCACAGCGGCTGCTCGAAACAAGGGCCCTGAGTGGCCCACCCCGCACCCACAATAGCCAAAGCGCCAGAAAAGCCCTACCGCCTGGATTGGACCAGAGGTCTTCGTTGGGCCGCGACAATTTGCTACAGTACAGGTTACAACCTGCAGCCTTTGCAAACCATGTCATGCACAGTGAGCGCCTACATGTGCGGTTTAGCAGTTGCTACATTGCTGGTATCAGATCTGGGGCTTTACGTGTTGTTTCAACCTTGCGGCAGCCTAGCTACTGACAACTGATTTCCTAGGTATGTGTTATTTTACGCACGTTCCCTCTTCGGACCGACTGGAGCATCCTGGCACCTTTCAATTCAATAGGCACGTCTCAAAAAGAAACACCGAACGTCGCAAAATGATCGTTTCATGGTGTCGCTTGTTTCCGATGGAAATCCTTCTATTTCTTCTAGTAAGGCATGCCGTGACTCCCATCTTTGGGGCGTCACAGTGAGTGCCATGCAACAGAAGGACATGTGAAACCGTCAGGCATGGCGCGAGCACTTTAAGCATGCGCCGATGAGCCTCAAGCATCTGATCACCTCCTTGGGCATGATTTCGGCCTCGACATTTACCAAACTTCTGTGCGTATGCCGTCAAGCCAAGTCAAGATCCGCCTTGTGTGGGATGACCATTCGGCCTGTGAGATGCCAGGCAAAGTCGTCGGGGGTCCCCCAAGTGCTCCGATATTCTCTGTTCGATTCTACTGCCCCTTCTGCTCACGACAAGTCAATGCCACCTTCCTGCCACGGCGCTCAACAGCCTGCATAGCCTGCCTCAGAAACACTGCGCGCTGGAGCTTGCATCAGAAAAAGCAGGAACGAGCATCACGTCTGAACAACCGGCTGTCGATCGCGGCTTGCAGCCTGCGGCCAGCACAGTTGTTTTGCAAGAAAGCTGGAGAACTTGGAGAGGGCCAGTATACTGCCAGCATGCCTGCTGGCTGTGTGTATTGAAGGCATTTGATGGCTCCTCCTCGCTCCCATTGATTAACACTTGCAGATGGAAAATACATGCATCGACTCCAAGATCAGAGCAGGATACTGCGGACAGCTTTCTGGAAAGCTACTGGTAATGGCCTCAGCCAGGTCGAAGCTCATTCTCAGAACTACGTAACATCCCGTAGCTACTCCTCTAATCACACGGACCGTGAGAGCATGAGAACTCATGCCGAGGATCCTGCCAACACCTGAGCTTGACGATGAAGTCGATCAGAGAAACACAGATGTGCTGCAATCTGGCGGGCCTCAAATCGCGAGAACATCGCGAGAACTCATGACTCCCGCATGTTTCGCAAATCAGGCGCAGCGGCCGCACGAAAACGCCAAATTGTGGCAAGAAAGAGCGACGGACATTGGATCTTGTTTCAGTCTATTCGCCAACAGTATCCCCAATAGCGCTTCACAATGCGATTTGCGGGGCGTCCGTGAGACACTTCCAGGATTGACACCACATCACCCCCCAGTGACATGTCAACGTAGCAAGACGAGAGAAATCTAGAATCAAAGGGACGTCACGGGACGTCAACTAACATCACTGAGGTGAGCTTGAGGTTGATGAGAATCCCCCATGCCCCAGTGTTTGCATGCTACAAACTAAGTCTTTCTCAAGGAATCGGATACAAACACGTTCCGTGATACCGCAAGCACAGTTGCCATGCCGGTGCATGTGCATCTGAGCCAAACCAAGCGGGCTGAGCCAACGACAAGTTCAGCCGCCTCCGACACGCCGATGGATGAAGCAACCTTTAAACTTTCAACTCAAAACAAAAAGACATAAAGCAGCATGTCACAGTGTGTCCCCGTGCACCTGCAGACTTCGCACTAGCGCGCGCTGACGGTCTGAAGACAACAAGTCCTTGGGGGTGCAACTGCAGTATTTTGCAACTCCAAGCCTGAGGAATGCTGGGAACGTGGCTACCTCCTCTTGCCTCAAACCAAGCTTTCCATTGGCTCATGCCCTCTGCTTCAACTGTAGTGAGAGTTGTGGAGTGCGAGGGCTGGACGTGGCAGGCGTTGGATCCATGCCCTCAGCGAAGCCATCATGCCAAACAGATCTCAACTGTGAAAATAGGCACATATAGGCACATTGAATCTTGCCTTCCTGTGGCCTTGCGTTTCCACAGGCAAGAGCTGCTGAGCGTTCAGGCATGTTGAGACTGTGAGCCCGGGGCAAGCACGCGTCTCTCTCGGAGAAGGGCTTGCCGCCAGTCCTGACACGTTGACAAGCTGAAGCCGGGCCAACTCAACAGACTTGACTTGGCCTGGGAGTGAGCTCCAGATTTTGACATGAACAGGCGCACACCAGGAAGAACCTGACGGATGTTCACAAAGACTTTGGAAGATAATTCTAAAAAGTTGCCAAAACTGTCTCCCTCCGCCTCACGGTGGCTCACCAATGCCTGTACCCATGAAGCATGTGGAGTCATTCGCCACCAACAACGAGCTGTCCGAGTCCCTCACACAGTGGTGCAAGGCTGAACGCAAAGTGGCCTGCATGATGACAGGGAACTTCATGATGAGTGGCTCACACAAAGTGGCACTGCCACAGGGCCAGGCAGGCAAGGGAGTGCGGGGCCGTCGATGGGGCAAGGTGCTTTCAGCGAATGTGCTGAACCGCTGACAACGTGAACAAAATTAGCCAGCCCCAGACATCAGCCGGCCGTGGCAGTCTTGATGCCGCAGTGCTTGTTCAAGCTATTCGCTGCAAACTGTCACTCTCCTGGACAGCAGCTGCATGGTGGTCCGGGTGCTCCAGCAGCTGAAGAAGGGAAGCCTTGAAAGCACGGCATAACATACGGCAACTCTCGCCAAACCCGTCTGCGGACTTTGGGGACCTGGCCGCCAAGAGCTTCAGTTGAACTGCAAGAACCTTCGAAACCAGTCGCCGCGAGCCGCTCTTCAAAGCTCTTCGCAGCTTTGCCTCCAAGCTCCGACCCCAGCGCACAATGGCCCCTTTCTCAGGGGCCTTCTGAACCTAGCATTGCTCCATGCGCAAGATTGCTCATGCACAGGGCGACTCGTTGTGTCTACACTCTACACGCTGGAGCCTCCGCATCCGAATTGGGACAGGATGCCCATGCCTGTAGCGTTAAGCCGTCGGGCCATTGGGAGTTGGCTTCTGGATGCTTGAAAAATGCCCTACTCATGATCCTCATGATCCGAATGCCCTCTGCTGTCAAAGGTGCATGTGGCACCCAGCGGGAGCGGTGCACGCGGCTTAGGCGTCGCCTCCAAGCAGCGAAGGAACAAAGATGCAAACAGCAAAAGTGGCCTATTATACCTCTTGGTAGTATTCTGACGTATCTAATTGGATTGTATCATGCAGTCACACTGAACAGGCAGGTCTGAGATGTTGGCAGTGACTGTGGCGAGGCTTCGCTTCCAGAATCCATCGGTCAAGCGGCGATCTTTCGAACATTCCCTGGAGTTTTGCTGGTACTCCATGTCAGCGGACATGGCTCGTCACTGCATCACGTATAGTCCGTTATTGCATCCTGATTCAGAAATGCACATTTACACATACTGTCCTCATGCCGATGTTCCACAGCGGCTAAGGGCCACAGTGTGCAATTGACTTGAACCATTCGAAGGGTCGTAGGATTCACATTTCATCATAGCCAAGACTGCCGACAGATGTTTTTGGCCGGGCTAGCCCAGGGCAGCCGTGCACCCTGTATGATGCCTGTATGCACATGGCATCATATGACACGCGGACCATGTGACCACGCTTCAAATTCCTCAATAGACCCTGCGGACCAAATGTTTCACTCTGGTTCACCACTCTCTGCTGACACGCGCTGCTGGCTGAGATAGGGTGGCTGAACCCGCCGCAGGTGGGCTCATACCTGCATCACCCAAGTACTATGCCAGTGCTGCAAGAACGGCTATATACCGAACTGGCTGCCGACACTTCATCCGAATGAAAAAGCGATCGAATGGTTGTTTGTCTTTCCCAGCCAGTTTGTCACCCCCATGAGTCAACAGAAGAATTCCAAATCAGAGGTCTTATACCGACCCCTGGTTCGGATTCGGTGAACCCCCCCCCCTCCCCAACAAAAAAACATTCCCCCGGCTCCAGCCTCGCGGTGAAGTTCCTAATCCCCAAGAATCCAAGCCCATGGATCCCAGAATCAGTGGTCATTCTCCTTGCTCCGTGGGGCTGCAACAGTTCGGATCGCTTCGGAAAAGAAATGCTTAGAATCAATCGCGGAGCGCTTTCATTCTTTTGGCGGTGCCCGATGCCTGTCTTCATGATGCTGAGAACTTGAGAACCATTCTAAGTATCCATCCTGCGTTGTGTCTCGCGCTTTTCGCCGGAAAGTCGCGTTCAACCTGTTTATGCCGAATCTAGGTTTGCATCACCACGAATTGCGCGGATCTAGGTTGACCAGCTGGCGAGGCGCGACAGTTGCTCAAAGTAGCCTGTATGCGGTGGAATGATACTAGTGTAGTTTTGTGTAAGCAGCTATGACATCGTGGATTATGCCGGACAACTGCTAACAGGCTAACACGAGGCAAGACTTCAAGTGTGAGATGAGAACGACGTGCTAAAGCAAACTTCATGGATGCTGATCTGACCCTGCATCTCTTCAAGTCATCGCCAAGTACGCTCGGCGAAAGATGGC